CAAACCAGGAGCCAAATTCTTGCGATTTTCGTACGGAATCTCTTCTCTCGGTTTTCCGAGGGAAGCAATCATATGAGGAAATTCTTCTAAAAGTTCTTTTGTCTGTTGGTTTTCAAACCAATGATATGCTTGCTTTGTAGAACGAAGAGCATTCATTATACTTTGCATTTGATACATGTCATCTTTGACTGAACGAATGAGTCTCAATTGTTTGTTATACTGTATGTATTCATATTCTTCATTAATGGCTTCATGAACGATAGCAGTTGTTGTGTTCTCTAATGTTGACATTTCTGTTCTTACATACAAAATAAAAAAATAAATAAAAATAAAACTAACTTTATTTTTTCTATCTTAAGGAAATTCATGAAAATTCATGAGGGTAGAAATGAGGGTAGAAATGAGGGTAGAAATGAGGTTAGATATACCCATCTACCCTAAACATTATTTTTTGGTCATGGGCTATGCCCCGCCGCTTTGCGTCTTTATGACAAAAATAAATGGTTCATTTACTCACAATATTTTTGTACAAAATGACCCCAAACTTTTAACTTCTTTTCTGCAGCTTCTAATGCTATCTTAGCGAGTTCATATTCTCTAAATTCTCTCTTTAAATCTTCTTGTTCCCATTGGTCTAGTTCGTATGGAGAATCTCTATAACCATAACATATCTCACGTTCATGTTCTAATTGTTTTTCATGCATTTTTCTAACTTCTTCTTCAAACAAATGTTTAGCATTCTCTACTGTATCTTCAAGTTCTTCTTCATCTAATTTCTCATGAACTTTCTTGTCTATGGAGTCCATAATTTTTCCAACTGCTATGCAATATTTTGGAGAAGCCCACATTGCTATATAGTTTATAAGTCTTGGGTCTACATACGTTCCTCTAACCTGTTTGATTTCATCAGGAATTCCTGCATGAATTTTGTATAAAAAGCAACCGCCGGAATTCGGACTGTTGCTATATTCTTCACAAAATGCCTTATAATACTCTTCCCAGGACTTATTTTCCAACAACTTTCTAAAGTCTTTCCTAAACTGCTGACACATATTTGTTGCATTAATGTAACCATCCTTGTCTCTACGTAAGACTTCAATACCGTTATAAGTGCCTTTTGTGAATGTTTCGCCATTATATTTGTTAGTGAATGTTTTTGCTTCGACTGACATTTCTGTTCTTACATACAAAATAAAAAAAAATAAATAAAAATAAAACTAACTTTATTTTTTCTATCTTAAGGAAATTCATGAAAATTCATGAGGGTAGAAATGAGGGTAGAAATGAGGTTAGATATACCCATCTACCCTAAACATTATTTTTTGGTCATGGGCTATGCCCCGCCGCTTTGCGTCTTTATGACAAAAATAAATGGTACCATTAATGATATCATGACTGTTCTCGTTCATGTCTGATTTACATCTAATGAAAAAGTTTAGAAGAATTTTCTTATTCTTTCTGGCATATTTTTGTCTTTCCAGTACTCCCGCTCTAATGGTCCCAGATGTGTTGGCTTCGACTCTCTCAAGTTCTTAGATGGTATAACATCTTCAACACCTCCTTCATATCTTACTTTATAAGTGTCATCGTTTATGTTGTAGCCAAGTATTTCAATAACCACTCCTCGCTTTGCTTCGTCAATGGTTTCAGCAAGTTTGCCATTACTACTTTCAACTAATTTATGACGAGGGTAAAATGCTATGGAGTCGTCAACAGCTTTTATAAGATATCCATTACCTTGCGTAGAGTCTACGATATAATAATTTCGACTTAACCTTAAACGTTTCTTTGTCAACGGTTTGTCGTCAAGAACTACACGAACTTTTGTTCCAGGAATGAGAGTAAATGGTGTTGAATTTCTGATATTTTGTGTTTGGCTTCGTTTCTTTTGTATATACTTTTCTTCTTGTTGTTGTGTCATTGAATTTGGTGTATGTCCTGTTGTAGAATGTGTTGAGGAATTATATACTTCGAGAAAATGTTTCATTGTTTCTTCGGTAAAGTCTCGCTCTTGGTTTAAATCTCTGAGCGTTCTTATGAAGCGGTTTATGATGCCGAGTATGTTATGGTTATGGTCTTCAGTAGTGTAGTGAGTTATGTTATGCTTAATGAGAAAATCTGTGATTTCATTGCTGAGGTATGCACTGTCTTGGTCTGATGTTAAAGTACTTGGGCTATGTTCTGCTACAAACTTTTGTAAAACTCTTAACACTTCACGAGTTCCTTTATTCCTCATTGGATATGCATATGCTTTGCGAGTGTTAACATTAATGAAGATGAGGAATGGTTTATGTCCTCCTTTTCTGCTTTGAATGAGAGTGTCAAATTGGTATGCGTCAGGAGTGTTGGAGTAAATTGGTAAAAAGTAGTCGTAAGGGTTTATTTTTGTTTGATGTACAACATTTTTGTCAAAGAACTTTTTAACTTCAGCTCTGTTAGTAAATCCCCAACTTTTTGCTGCTTCATTGAACTTCTTAAATGACCTCCATGGATGTTGTTCGAATACTTCTTTCAAGCTCATTTATGTAAAGTTAAAGATTTTATTCAAGACGGTACCATGCGAATACAGTCATAAATGGTGGCATATAATCTTCACCCGAGCCTGTTGGATTTGTTGTGAAAGTATGGACATGATTTCCTCCTGGTTCAGTTGGTCGAAAAGTCTTTTTTGCTGAATTGTTATAAGATGGAGATAAAACATCATTGCCAGCTTTATAGTCTGAGTTGTATAATGGGTGGTCTCTTAATGAGTGGCTATGGTCGCCAGAAAAGTTTGTAGTTCCTGTATGAGTGTGCGCAGGTAAGTTTGCTTCTTTAATTTTCTTTGAGCCTCCTGTTTGCTTTGAAGAGTTAGCACAGTATAAGAATTTGTCTACAATCTGTTCCCAAGTACCAAAACCTAAAACACTTGCTGGATTTGTTGAGTTCATTGACGTATAAATAGAGCCTATAGGATATAATGTTTGAAGTATTTCAGTCTTTAATGTTTGAAGCTCTGTTTTGTCAGCTTTGTCCTCCATTATATCTTCATAGTTTTTAACTTCAACGATTTGAATGAAAAACTCCGGATTTAAAATCATATCCATTTCTGCAGTTGCTGACCATATTTCTTCATTCCATTCAAAACTTTCACGAATATCTTCTCTATGAACTTCATAATGTACTTCTGTCTTAGTTCTGTTGAAACGTGTATATGTTATACCGTCAATGACTTTAGTTTCATTTGTTCTTTCAAGATATTCAGAATAATCTGAACCAACTCGCACTCCCTTACCTCCTTTTACTGTATAATGCCAATGTTTTTTGTCAGCCTTTTTGTCAATACTTTTCTGAATTATTGCTATATCTTCTGCTCTAGTATACGAACTAAGTTCATCTCTGCTTGCTTTCTTTTCAAGTTCTTCATCCACATAAGTTTTGTCAGCTTTCTTATCTAACATTGCTGGTAGTTCATATGTTTCAAAGTTTCTGACATGTCCTTCAATGTTCATACATTTACTATTTAAACTATTAAGAGTATCTTTTACGCTTGTACTTGGATTCTCTAAAGGTGCACTTGAACCAAGGGTATAGTTCAATATTATGTCGTCTGCTCTAACAGTAGTGAAGGATTCATGTGTATGGTTCTTGTCAGCTTTACTATTTAATGTAGCTTGAAGTTCATTTATATCGGAGATATTGTGTTTATGAGATTTCAAAACTTTGTTCGTTGCGTCAAGTTCATCTTTGTCAGCTTTACTTTTAATAGCATCTTCAAAAGTTATTTTTGCCTTAACTCTCAATGTAAATCTTGGTTCAACTAATACACCGTTAACAAAGAAGTATGAAGCATAAATTTCATTGTTATAACCAAATGCTTCTGGTGCTTTACCTGTGTCATACTGTACAGTACAGCGTATGTCATAACCTTCAGCACGAATGAATTTATATCTTCTTTCATTAACATCTTCCGTCTTCACTTCTTCATCCTGTGTTAAATATCCATGGTAGTCCGTTATAATCTGTTCATCTGAACTTATATAATGAACATGGTTTTTATCTGCTTTTTCGGCTAATTTCTCTTCTATCTCATTTATTTCAAGTTCATGCCTACCACCACCTCCTTCAGAAGTATTTTTCTTCAGCTCTTGAAGAACATCCACTTCACCATCTTCGGTGTCAATAATGAGACTTTGTGTTAAAACCTTTCCTGTCTTAATGGATGTTTGTAAAACTTCTTCTTCACCGTGTTCGGGGTCATGGTCGTCATCATATCTTGTGAAATCAGAGATGTTGTCATACATTAAGCATATCTGTCTCAAAAGTTCTGCTATTTGAAACTGGAACGAAAGATATACAGACCTTTCATCATCTCCTAAAGTCAAGTCTGCTTTCTTAAGTATTTCTTGAATGTATGCAATGAGAACAGAGTACCTTGGAAAATATTCGAACAATATTTCATTAGCTGTTGGTTTTGGTGGTTCTTCTGGAGTTTCTGTTGTTTCAGTTCCTTCTGTTGGAGTTTCTGCATCTCTTGACTTCAATGCTCTTGCTCTCAAAGACCTAAATGTTAGAGCACCAGGTTTTACAAAGAACTTTATAAATGCTTTAATAGTTCCTGGTAAGTTATTGTTAGCATTAAGTAAGTTCCTTATGCTTCCATCATGTACGTCCATAGCACTATGTAAAAAATCTATACTTTTCTTGTAGTCAGCAATAGACTGACTGTGATTTTTTAAAGATTTGTCAATACCTTTAAGCCAATCTTCATGCATGTCTGATACTGAGCCAAGAATATCATTTGCTTCCTTTAGTGTATTTTGTGCTTCTCGTAAAGTATCCAATCCCGTACGTGCATTGTTTGCTATACGTCTTACAGTATCTATTTGACTCCTTGTTTCTTGCATCCAACCAGATAAAGTTTTAATAGTATCCGAACCATTTGAAATGAAGTTCAAATCATCTTTAACGCCGTCTAAAGCTTCTTCACCAAGTACCGCCCATATCTTTCCGATTTGGTATTAAAGAACTCCATATGAAGCAGCTGTTAAACCAGTATTTATAAGGTTCCATATCCATGATTTAGCAGTTTTTCCATCCTTTCCATCTTCACCATCCAAACCGTTTTCGCCTTGAGGTCCTTGAATTCCTTGAGGTCCTTGAGGTCCAGTGTCACCCTTCTCTCCTTTCAGTTCATCTTTATGTTCGTTATAATATTCTAATGTCAAAAGGTGTACATCATTACTGCTACCAGCAACGCCGAGAATTTGTTTCTCATTCATGACTAAATTCTTTAAGCATTTAATGTTGTCGTCAAATCGAAAGCTCTTTAACAATTCAATGAGAACATTTAATACTTTCACTAATGAGGCATCTACTGTAGAATTTATATATTGCACCGTTCCATCATTTATGATAGGAACTTTACTTGTTGTAATGAATGGGTCATAAGTGTTAAAAGTATCGAAATCAATGACTTTTTTAGTTTTTCCATCGTCAATGACTAAATTGTTACCTTCCACTGTTAAAGTTGAGTTTTCATTTACTAGTTCATGTGCTCTTCTTGCTTCATTTGTTTCATACGCATATGCAGCAATAGTCATATTTTAATGAGAATAAAATGTTGTTCTATTTGCAAAGTACAGACCCAAACGAATACGGGACAGTAAAGCTACAAACAAACTTAGGACTTCAGAATGAAGCACTTGCTTTCAGAGTTGTTGACTTCAATACTATCGCAACTTTTGTCATAACAGATGAAACAGATTTCATAGAGATTGAAATAGATGGTGTAAGAAGTGTTATAACATTTCCTAACAGAGCTGGGTATAGAATAGATAAAATTGCTGGAGTCATAGATACTCTCATAAATGAAGAAACTATTGACAACATAGATGTCGAACTCTCTTCTGAGGGAACATTGAAGTTCAGTTATGCGAAGGAGTTTAAGATAACACGAATGAGTCATAGAGTTCAATTGCTTCTGGGAGCATACCATATGACATTTCCTTTGAAAAGTGTTGACAAAACGATTGAGATGAAATCTGTTCCATACGTATGTTATGGTAATTGTTTGTACGTTGAGTCAAAAATAGCTAATGTCACAGGTATTTCAGAAGTTAATAGTAAAGGTTCAGTAGAATATAAATCCTTCTGTTATGCAGTCAATTCAATGTTCATTCCAAATGTTCCTGTCATAGCAACTCATTTAGGTAAATGGGTTCGCATTAGTCCTCATAATTTGAAAGACATGCAATTCAGACTTGTTGACTTTCAAGGAGAGCCTGTAGAACTGAAGGCACCAGTGCGAATGACTGTTGAAGTTGACTTTTTAGAAAATATTAAATGCACGCTTACAAGAGAACTCAGAGCTAAAAATATAAAGTATGAATGCTATGTATTAGGTCATGAACTTTGGTTGTTGCTGTTTGATGAAACAAATGAGTTAGTTATGTCAGTCAAGAGAACAGAAAAATATTGTGTTAGTGAAAACTGCACCAAGTCAATAAGATTAGGTTTGCATTATGAAGATGAGTTCGATACTGTTGAAGAAGTTTTGGATAGATATTACAAATTGCTAACTTGAAATTTTTTTGACTGACTGACTGCTTTAATTTACTAAAACATATTTCAAACAAAGCTTATAGTCAGTAGATAGTTTTGTATACTCGTTCGAATATCTATACTTAAACTCAACTCCTGTAGTTCCTGGTGTTTCAATGATGCGGATGTTACCTATTTTCATGAATAGTGGAGTTTGACCACAGCATTCGATTTCAGGGTCGAGATAGTCAATGACACATTGTTTCCCTGTTATTCGTGAGATAACATTTTCAAGGTCCTCCTTTGTTAGAATTATTTGGTTCTTGCTTATAAGATTTGTCAAAAGCTTCTTATCGTCTTTGAGTAAGATAGTTTGATATAACTGAAGAAGGTAATGGTCTACGTTATCTGAAGGATTTGTTTGAACATTTGTGTAAGGATTGTCGTTGGCTTCTCTTGAAAGAACTTGGTCCAGTGGTGGATACTCTAACTTAAAATCTGATGTAGCGTTAGCGTTTGAAGCTGTGTTTAAATTCACCGACTTAAGATCTGGTTCTTTTTCTTTCAAACACTCCGAACTATAGTTCTTTATGACAATATTGTTTGTCGTTCGTGAGTCAACATTTGATGTTGGTTCAATTGGAACATTAACGGCACCAGCTAAGATGGACTTACTTCTCATTTCATATAGAATAAAAACCTTTTATATGTATGAAATGAACAATATACTCGACAAGGGTTTGAATGCAAAGCTAACGAATGAAAATATTGTTGAATTCACTGAGACAGGTGCTGTGTATAAAGATGTAGAACTACTGAACAAAAGAGCTAAGGGAAGAAGCAGGAACATGAACAAAGGGTGGAAGCCTATAAAAATTTATGTCAATGATGGCTCAGGAGGTTCAAACATAAAGTATGCATAAAGTTATAGAGTTTATGCTCTCAAAGGTGAAAAGCCTTCATTTAAGAACAGCTATTCTAACACATATCCTCAAAAGTTAACGGATGGAGAAGTGGATGATATGAATGACAGCAAAAATATTAACAGAAATGGCGACAGAGATGCATGGAATTTGTTTACCATCAGTCAATTGAAGGTTAAACTTTAAAACAATGTTGGTCGTTCCCATGGAATATTTTTGACTTTAATGGTATTAGTCATGATATGAATCTCAAGGTATGAACGAGGAGAGATGAGAGACTTATATGCTTCCCAAATTTCTTCAAAAGGTAATGTTATACCTGACTGTTTCCAAATGAGTTCAATATCATAACGTGAGAAACCTTGAAAGATAACGAAGTCAGTTATGAGACGTTTTATGTTTAAAGCTAAAAACCTCCATGTTTGCATAAGTATTGCTACAGTTAAATGGTAATGTCTGACTTTAGTTATGATGTTAGCTAATGGTGAGTCAGGCTTTGAAACTAAACCTTTTCCGGCGAAGTCGTCGCAAACGAGCAGAGTGTTTGAAGGATATTTTTTGAAGGGGTATTTTGAAAGTTTTGATAGAATGTAGTTTGTCAGTCGTTTCATATCGTAAACTCCTGAGTACTGACGTAAGTGGTGTTTGTCAATAATTCTTTCCATCTCCTCAGAAGTCTTTTGCATTCCTGACTGTATGAACTCTACAATAGCATAATATTTTCTCTTACGTCGAATGTAACGTTGAAGAAATTCAATGAGTTCGCTATCTGGAACTTTAACGACAGATGCTTGAACTTTACTCATGAATGTTTTCGCTGTTGAATCCATAGAGTCTGAAGTTGCTGATATAATGATTTGGTCATAGTAAGAGTCGTTTCCTAAACGCTCTGTTATGAGTATATGACGAATGAGGTTAAATGTCTTTCCTGACCCCATCTTTCCACAATAGAAATACACACCATTTGAACAGAACTCAGAGTCCTTACTGAAAGGAAGAATGAGAGAACTGTTGAGCTTTTCACTGCTTTTATTCATGTCTTCATCTACACCATGTATTAAATGCTTCATTTTATCTCCATTAAAAATGCAAGTCAGAAATATTCAGAACATAGCACCGAGTCTAACTGACAAGAGTATAAAGATATACTATGAACATGTTATGATGAAACCAACCAAAATTCAAGAAAGTCAGTATACTTATGAATATCCAAGACACTGGGTAGAGTATATAGGAGGTGAGAAAGCTATTGAAATCAGACAGGTTCGAAGTATTCCAGCAGGAAGAACAATATTATTGAAGAACTTTAATGTTTTGAGGTATAATGATGAAACAAAGAAGCAAGATAGTTTTCCTGTTGCTGTGTATGTGAACCTAGACACAGGAGATGACATGAAAGTTTTTAACACAAAGCTTCAAACGGTAGTGAGAGAACAACTTACTGCGGAAGGACATCCATTACCTTCAGAAGTTACCATAGCATATAATTTTGAAACAAACTCAATAGATTTTAAAGTCGTCTCTGCAAAGAAGTCAGGTTTTACATTTAATGAAGCAGATGTATATTCGAATGAAAACTTCAAAGCTATTGCATGGTTAGATAATGACGATTGCTTTAAGAAAATATTTAAATTCAGTGACTCAACGATGTCAATAGATGACCTTCGTGGAATGTTACCATCGACGTTTACAGTAGAAGGTTCAGCAGGATTGCTTACAAGATTGTCAATTGGTGGCATTTGGTCTCGTGAGAACATTGTTATAAAATCCAGTATAAGTGAATTTGCTGAAGAATCTATATTATGTCTTTCAAACTATATGTATTCGCCGCCGAAGCATTATAGTATAACAAACTTTGTCAGTAAGTTTAACATAAGACTTGTCGAACCTTCTTCAATGAAAGATGTTGTGCTACCCAAAGACGGAAAGGATGGACTCATTATTGAGATGATTTTAATAGCATATTAAATGAGTTTGTTTTTGAAGGTCATTCATGATGAAATAACTGTTGTAGAAGATGTTAGCAATTGTTCAGACATTTTGAAGCGTATAGATGATATAAGAAATAAGTTAGATAGACCGCAAAGCGGTGAGGGCGAAGCCCGTGAGAACGTTTATGTTTCATTGACTTTCTCCAGTAACGAGAACTTTTATGAGATAATATTGAAGAGAGATGATTTTAATATGGTGTAAATGGTAGCTTGGGCAGCTTTAGGCGCAATGGGAACAAAAGCATTAGCATTTGGAGCAAAAGCACTTGGAGCTTATGACGCAGTAAATAAAATGAGTGGAGGAAGGTTTTCGAAGACATTAGATGCAAATAAAGGAAAGATTGGAGGCTGGGTTGCAAAGAAGTTAAGATTAAATAAAATAGGGCTCATAAATAAAGCATCCAATTTGGTTGCGACTGAGTCAGAAAATGCTTTAGGAAAGGACGATGAGTTTGCAAAACACGCAAAAGACTTTAATGACCAGATGAAAGGTGAAACAATGCATTTAAATAGAGTCGATGGAACTAAAGAAAATGTTTCTTCTCCACAACTTCCACCAGCGGTTTATCCATACGGACCTTATGGAATGTATGGAAACCTTTATGAACGACCATTTGACCCATTGACTGGTGGAAGTAATTGGTATCATTACGGACGAAGAAGAAAGACAGTCAAGTTGGAGACAGATGTTAAGGGTGCCCTATAGACGATAGACCACCCTCAGAAAAGCACTTTTAAGGTTATTTCTGTTAAGCTTTTATCTCGTTCAAGAGAGAGATTTTTTGAACTTTACCATATCATAATGCTTAGTTATATTATGACCAATCTCTACGATTTTGAAGATTTAAATTACGTTGAGAATTCATCGATTTTTTGATTTTTTGATTTTTTTTCGAGTTTTTTTGATTTTTTCAAAAAAATAAAAAAGAAAGAAAATAAGGAAGGCATATAGTGTTTTCATTAAAAACAATTATTACAGTAAACAATGCCGCCAATTATTGGTTTTTTGAAATAATAAATTTGAAAAATGAAATATTGAGCATATATTCTACCCAATATCAATTGACTGATTAAATACAATATATATCTTTGCTTTATTCACTTTGATTACTTTTGTATTAAAAAACCGTAAAATTTGGCGGGATTTTAGCTCTTCCTATGGAGTATTCTATTCCAATCATGGAAGGATACACAATTGAAGAGATATTAATAACATATAAAGCTGATGACTGCCAAAAAATGGTCTATCATCGAACTGTTTATTCAAATAAGAAACCTTTTTCGCATTTCATTAATCTAAACCAGCTTAATTCAAAACAAGATCATTCACAATCAAATGTTAAGGAAGAAACAATATTCAACGTCAAATTTAAGCCTGGAGTTCCGTATAGTGACGTTGCCAAGAATCTTCATACTTACATTTCTCTTATATCTGGTGCAGGATTTTCAAAACACATCGAATTGGCATCACTCCTAAACTTTCATTGCCCAACAGAAACTACATTACTTGCGCATCTAAAGAGCATATTGCCAGATCTTGAGAAAGTTGCAACACCAAGTTGTGAAGCTAATATACAAGAAATTCTTAAACATGATTCAGAATACAAATTTAATGTTTCATTAGATTGCGCATGGAGTTCTAAGCGCGATGCTTTACATGCCGTCATTACGCTTATAGATATAAATACAAACAAAATATTAGATTTTAGAATAGTTTCAAGGCATCCAGAATTAATAAAATTCAAAAGTCCCAAAATTTTGGTTGAACCAAAAATTTCACCAGGATTAATGGAAAGCTATGCATTACGTAATATGTTGAAATCTGATTTATGGAAAAAAATAAAAGTTTTTTGTTCAGATGGTGATGTTAAAGATTCAACAATGATAGAGAATTCTGGTGCACAATTATCACATGTAAGAGATCCAAATCATGTGATAAAATCAGCATTTTCAAAAATTGTCACTAAATATCCTAAATTTGAAAAAATATTTAGGATCCTTTTTGCATGCCCAACATTAAAACCAGAGCAAAAGGTTCAGAGATGGATGGGATTAATTAATAGATATCCAGGAGAATCACCAGAGCATATCGAAAAAAGAGAAATTATTACAAATATTGCTCCATTGTTTCTAAGAATCAGCAAACAATATCATACAAATTTCAACGAAGCTTTCAATTCATTGAAAGCCCATTTAGTCCCAAAAAATCTTCGTTGGATTATTGGATTTCCAGCCAGAATTTTTGTTTCTGTATTTGCGTATAATGAAGACAATTGGAAGACAAAACTAAGAAGATTAATGGGTATAGATGATTCTTATTTTGATGAAGATATTTTACAAGTTATATTAAATTTCGAAAATAAATCCGATTATGACCATATCAGAAGAACTTCGGAAAACTACAGAAATCATAACAGATGCGTTCATTACATTCCAGATGAAATTGACCCAGAATTCGCTGACTTAGTTCCTCATAAACCGTCAAAAGATGGATCCAGATCCGAAAAAATTGAATACACTGACGATGAGGATCCGCCAGCGGATGAAGAACCGTCAGAATCTGAAAATCTTTCACTTCCAACAGATTATCCAAAATTCAACAAAAAATCTATATTTGGTTCCGATATCAAAGTACCACCAGATTGGAAAAGGTTTTCATTTTTCTTCAAGGCGAAGGAAATTCCAGATGATCCTCAAGAATTCCAAAATTTATTATCCAAATTTAAACAAGATCTTTATAATACGTACTCGTCTTTAATTCGTATTAATGAAGAAAACATCTCGGCTGTTGCAGTTTACGATTCTCAGCAAGCAAAAGAAATTATGAATTCAGCTTTTACTGATTTTCATAACTTTGAGAAAATTAAGATAAACGCAATCAATTATCTTAACGTCCTCAGCCACAATCCACCATCTCTTGAAATGATAGCAGATTTTCATCCTGATTTGATACAACTTCCACAGACACTCAGAAAAACTCATGATAAGCCTAAAAAACAAAAGCTTGGTATCAAGCTTGGAAAAAATCTCAGTTTTCTTGCCGTTATTGTTCAACTTATTACATTTCGACCATTAATGCACAAACTATTTGACGAATTATTCTCTAATCCCAATGAGCAACAGTTAATATACAAAGAAATATTATCGCTCACAAATCGGAACTTTTCGGAAAATGCAGATGTTACTTATCTGTATCACCTGTACTCGAAACGGCAAAAGATACATCAAGCTGATCCAATTGATGCTTTCAAACAATTACAAGAATCGCTTGCATGTGAAGCTAGGCAACTAGATCTTATTGATTATTTCAAAAAATTCTGCTGGGGATTTACAGATAAAATTGACATTCCTCTTGTTAATAATAACGAACTTCAAGTTACTCCTACTTTTTCAGATTATCTTTTTATTGATGTTGCTGGTTTTACGTTTCCATTGGATGATTACACATGGAATAACAATCCAGCTGTAAAATCCAAACTAGTAGCCATAATAACTTATCACAGTCGACAATATAATATTATTATTTTGGACGAAAACATCAATTCATGGATTCTCTTTTGTAATACCAAAATATCTTACATTCGTGATGAGGAATTGGCGAATAATTTAAACAAAGGCACATATAATACACCGAAATATTTGATTTTCGAAAAAATTTAGGTTTTTCAAAAATTAAATCTTTCATTTGTAATGTATGAATAAAATGTATGTATTTGATATAATTGATACATTCGAAATTTTTATTCTGAAAAAAATAATAAACAATTTTTGGCTTTTGTGATCTGATAAGCTGTAAGAATAAATACCAACAAATTTTATTAATATTCATCGTAAAAGTATTCGGCTCTTGATGTAAATAAGGAATATTTTTTTTTCAAAAGTTGCTTTTGAAGACTCTTTTATCAAGTAGCTGCATTTATTCATTGATAAGAAAGTATGCTGTACCAAAAATCGATAATTCACCACATTAATGGCCAATTTTGTTTTGCATTTCGACAAAAAAGCTCCTTTTATATAACATTACTGGGCGAAAATTAGAATATCTACGATGACAAAACAAAATACATCAACTTGATTTTTTGCCGAGAAAAATGTTTTTGGAGGTACCAAAATAGGTCTCGAAAAGCATTGGTTTTATTTAAGGTTATTTTTTCTGAGGGGGAGCTATCGTCTATAGGGCACCCTTAAGAAAGCAACTAAAAAGAAACCAAGGAAGAGATTTATAAAGCAATGAATTCAACAGGATAGAAATGAGGTTAGAAATCGGGTTAGATATACTCATCTACCCTAAATTTATTTTTGTGCTATGTTTTCATACGCGTGAAGGTAGTGATATCATTAATTTTTAAGTTTATTTTTATATAAATGACAGAACAAAAATATAACATTTCTACTCAGCAGGAATGAGACCCTTACTGACTATGTATTCGTTTAATGCTTGATGAAAACAATGGTACATATTATCGTATGGGTATACACAGCGTCTGTTTCCATCGTCGTCGTATATGTAGAGCTCAAATCCAGTCCAACCTTCTTTTGTACAATATGTAGCTTTATTTAAGTATGCATTTATGTAGATAAGGCAATTTTCTTCATCGCTCCAGAAATAATTTTTGTTCTTTGTTGAAATAGTTTTCGTTCCTCTGCGACCATAAGGAATGTATGCAATGAACTTTGCGTCATATGGGATTGTAATATATTCAGGGTTTCTTTCATCGTCAATGGGTCTGTCTTTGTTAAAATGCATGTTTCTCAGTTTTACTTGAGTTTTAAACAGCTCACGGAAACGTTCTGGGAAAGAGTCATAGTAAATGTAGTCAGACATGTCTTTACAATGAAATAAAAAAGTTGGAAAATAAATAAAATAAGGTTATTTTTTATTTAGTGAGGACGGTAGTGAATTCGTTAGTGAAGTCGTTAGTGAAGTCGTTTATGTGTCAGATGGTTTTGTAAATATTTAAGGTTAAGTTGGCGTTATGGTTGTGTTGTAAAATATACGTTACCGGTTTCGTAAAGTGTCGAACCGTTATCTCGGGTAAGGTGGAACGCAGTGCCGCCCTACCCAAGATAGACATACTAACTTTGGATCACCTAAAGAATTTTGGGAATTCAGTTATCCGTTACTAGTCTTAAATTAAAGTAGAGCACTACAGCGAATCAATCGTAATGCCTAGTCTCTCCAGTAACAAGCTGATCTGCTATATTAACTTTAAAGCCAAATCGATTCACATTGTTGCTGGTAAGTCTGATTGCTTCAGATAGAGAGCATGAATTGCTTCTTTATCATCTAATCCCCATCCCCCTTGTTCCCGATTGGATGACATGGACAATTCATCTTTCTCTAACGAAACAAAATGACACTTTTTGGCGGCTTATTGACTCAGAAAAATTTGAGAGTTAACGAATAATTTTGGCGCCAAAAATAATTTCTCTTAATTTATTAAATTTAATATACGCACATCCATAAGTTATGCTATTTTTTCTATTTATTTTGTTCTAAAATTCTAAATATTTTTTTTCATAACATAAAATATGATGTCTAGTCTCATTTACATAACAACATGCCTTAGAATAGGTTTTTTATTCTTTTTGTCACTTTAAATTAAGAATAAAAAGATAATTTAAATTGAATATTTGCGATTATTCTCACTAATGCTGCTTCCTCTTTTATTAGGTAGACAACAAAAAGTTAGCCTTGGACTCCCATATCAGATTTTTGATTGGTTGCGTATATAATGAGCTGGGATTGATAGACGAAAACCCAGTGAGAAAATTTTTGACGCCAATTACAAATTTTTTGTATAAAATGTTTTATTTGCTATAATTATATATATTAAACAAGAAAACAGCTGTTTTACTGAGCAGCACAATATCTATTTTGAGTTGTCATGAATGTTTGAACGTATCATATCTAAAATTTTCAGAAAAACATCGAAATTAGAGTTATTTTATGGTATAAATAAGCGAAAAACAGTGTAAGTATTATGTATTCGTACTAAGGGGTTAAAAACCTAATTCAATAAAGAAATTTTGCCGGGGGTATCTTTCAATTTATTCAATATGATTCATCCGAATAAAAATATTGAAGATTAGATAGTAATTAATAAAGAAATAATCGGAATTGAATGGATGTGAGATAGACAAACTGATAAAACAGTTCTATATCCTGTATTGATCAATAATTTGCAATAAAAAGAATTTTATTTATTATCCATACGAATATGTCTTTCAAAAACTTTTTGAATAGGAAAATTTAGAGACACATATGTTAATACTGATTATATGGACCACAAAGATAGTGAAATTAGAAAAAAATATGATGACCACATTAGCTATCAAAATATTGAAAGAACATTTATCTCCCTCTCAAAAGTCTTTGATTGATTTGTTCTCAATTTTTATTCAACTCACTTTTAAAGCTTCATATTTCCTCTATTGCATGCTCGGTACCTCCAAGAGCTATAGGAATCTTTATGGCATGACAAAGCTTAACAAATGCCATGGTAAATATAGAGTTTTTATTAAAGTTGAATCGATTGATTTTGGAAGTAATGATGCGAAAAAGTCGCAAGGTTACACAATATGTATAGGACCAAAGGTCTCATATATGCCATACTCTTATGAATTCAAGAGAGATAACAAACCAATCACAAAGGTCTGGGAGTTTTGGTATAACAGTTATAAGAGCTCTTCTTTCTCTCTGGCTCTTTTCAAGAATAATTTAATCTTAGATAATGAACTCATTGGTATGACAAACGTCAAACTTTCTAGTTTTCCAAAGGACTCTGTTTCAACAGGCACTTTTGAGCTTAAATTAAATAATGAAAAATTAGAACCAATTTCTGTAAAACTCATGGTTTACATTTGCGAAAATGGATCAAAACCATTCGATCCTACAACAATGCCAATGAGAAAGAAACAATTCAAGCCAATGATATCCAATTTGGTTGCAGAATAATCAAAAACTAATCTATAAATAAACTTCTATCTATCCAATTATCACCTTTTTCGTAAAAATTGTTGAATTATAGTATAAATTACAATCATAAAATAATACAAAACGACTAAGATTGCTTTAAAAGAGTGTGGGACAAACTATCCAGTGTCACTTTTTTATTAACCTTATTTTAAAAAATTAATAAAATAATAATAAAAAATTATTTGAATATTTTACATTAATTGTTTCTTTTTTAAAAGTACCTTTAAAGTACAATAAACAAGATTTGAATCTATTGATCCTTGTTGCAAACTTGAATATATTGCTTCAAGCATTTTCAAACATTCGACTTTTTTGTTTTCCAATATTTGTTCATGGTCATTAGCTTTTCGTAATATACGAACAACTTTATCACTATTGATTAATTGAACTTTAAATTTAATCAATAATGCTGGAACAACCGTTGTGTATAATTCAACAACAAAATCGTCTAATCGAATATTCCTTCTCTCTGGGAAATAAGAATGCTTGAGAACTTTGAAATGTGACTCACTGACGTTATTAGTCGCGTCACCTCCGTTGCGATAGCGCTTATTCCAACGATCTAAATGATGCCTCCATTGCCTATCGAAGTACTTTTGGGCTTTCGGTTCAGTGGAAAGAATTTCAAGAATTCGATCATAAACTGCATCTAGGTCTGCAGCTTCTTCTTGAGTGAGGTGCTCTGGAACTTCTTCACTTGTTTCAAACGTTTCTTCTTCTGGAATAAATTCAGAATCGTTTGGATCATCAGAAGATTCTCGTGGTAAAAAGATTTGAGAAGGTTGAAATTCATTTTCGATGAATTCTTCTTCATATTGTTCCTCTTCTTCAATTTCTTCTGCTTGAAGTAAGTGAGATTGAGCTGGTTCCTCTCTAGGATTTTCTTCTTCTTGGTTCTGTTCTTCCTCGGGAGATTCTTCTTTAGTATCGAATACTAATAATTTCATTAGATTATAAAATTCTTCAAAATTGTCTCGTGATTTAAACTTATCCGCTTTTCTTAATATGGCGCGAAGGACATGCACGCCACACCAAAGAATATGACAGTTTGGAATACCTCGCTCAATTGCCTCGGCTATTTGTGGGGCGCAGTCCATACTTATCATCTCGGGTTCTCTATTAATATATTGAAAATAACGACAAACACAATATTGAATATTTTCGCTTGTGTCAGGAGAAATAAAGAAATACAAAAAAGGAAAAACAATAGTATGTTCTGTTTTTCCTGTGAGTGCATATAATGGAATGTTAGCCCTTAGAAGTTTATACGTTGAATCGATGTGAAACGTAGAAATTTGGTGACCAAGGGCCTTCGCTTCGAAAGGTGCATATAAAAAAACTAGTTTTCCCGGCTCAGAGATAAATTCAATTAAATCTTCTGGACAACTTTCTTGAACAGATTCGACAAAGATAGCTAAAGAAACTTTTTCATCCGAACTAAAGCGTTTGGAAACAATTTCAGCTCTTTGAGCAAATTTACGTAATGCATCTGGACCTTGTGCAAATATTGAAAGTAACTCTTCGTCTGTATATGAAATATTTAAGTCTTGGAAACACTTAAGTTGAGCTGTAGCATGATTCATATTGTTTTCAAAGTAATGTTTAAGATAATTTCTGACAAATAATGAGGATATTGTTTTTGTTGATTTCGGAGGTGCAGAATGATCATGAGAGTCAGAGTGGATTAGTAGTTCATATTTATCTTGATCTATTATCCGGACTTTGAATTTAGCTTGACATTGTGGATACTTACATTTGTATTCGATCGTGGAGTATTCTTTCCTGCATTTTTGAGGGTAGCCCATGCTAGCTTTTATCTCTTCTTGGATACCAAACTGGAGGAGCTCCATAGTGTTGAATATCACGGGCTCCATACAACAAATTGAATAAGGTATTTCAAAATTTGAAGGAAATGGTCCATCATTGAATGTAGTGGCCGGGAATTGAATGACATACAGATAGTTTGAGGAAATTTGTTATAAATTATAATATAATTGAAGAATTAATTATCAAAACAAGTCTAAGAGCCATTTGTCAGATTTTCCCGAAATGCAAGGTTAAGATTTTAGCAGCGACTAACTTTGAGTGTACATATATAATTGTTATACTGAGTACTTTCTATCTGTGTTACTTATTTGAGTCTAAGAGCCATTTGTCGGATTTTCCCGAAATGCAAGGTTAAGATTTTAGCAGCGACTAACTTTGAGTGTACATATATAATTGTTATACTGAGTACTTTCTATCTGTGTTACTTATTTGAGTCTAAGAGCCATTTCTACCATAGAACTAGATATTGTCTCTCATTAAATATATATAACTGTAAACTACTTAATTCATTTATCTATTTAGATAAAATTATATTTATATAAGATTTCATGTTATTATTTCATCTTTATTATTTTTTTATTCCTTTGAAAAGTGACACTGGATAGTTTGTCCCTTTCTCTGCTTTAAAATGGTATATATCGTAAGCATATAACTATTGTAGCTTATTTTTCCCTATTATGCTTCATTCAGAGAATTAATGTTCGCAATTTTTTTCACTAAGAGTGGTTTCAAGGAGTTTAGGAGGTTTTCATATGTTTTTATACTATATAGCTTTAAAATGACATGATACTGAATATGGAACCAGTAATCTCTCAAAAATATCAATATTCGTCTTTTCCTTTCAATTTTTCACGGGAAATTACTGTCACTTTTTTACATATCAAAATTTTTCTATTATAATATGCATTAATATTGCCTAAATTGCAATAACCATAGCTTTTTTCAAAATTTAAGAATATTCGCAAGAATTTTCAATGAGGTTTACAAATTTTTCGACCAGACAGAAACAATACATTATTTTAACTTTAAAATGGAATAAAATAGTGCAATATTGAGTTATCCAAAAGCGATCCTTTCTATTCAAATTTTAAATCCTCAACAATCAAGTTTGAAAGCTTTTCTGTCAGCCTTTGAAAAAATTGTGTATGGTCGAAAATCTTCATTTTTATTATATCATGGGAGTATTCAGTGTCGAATTACTATATGCATTACCTATCATATTGACACCTTTCACGTTTGGTTTTATTATTGGATACACATCTCCAGCTTTACCTTATTATGAAGATAAATGGAATATTTCTTCAATACAATCCACGTTTTTTAATGCAATCACAGCTTTGTTTGCATGCGTTGGACCATACCTAACAACATTCTTACTCAAATTCTTCGGCAGAAGAGTTGTGATCGTAATCATCGATATCATTAACATTATTTCATGGGCATGCTTGTTCGCATTAAGCAAAAAGATCTTTTGGTTCGGAATTATTATCAGAGCTCTCCAAGGAATCATATTAGGAGCATGTACAGCTATTGGCCCACTTTACTTAGTTGAAATCACTCCACCAAGTTATGTTGAATTCTACGGAACATTAAATCAGCTTTGCATCGTTATCGGAATTGTTATCTTGTATATCATTGGCCAATATTATCATCCATGGGTTCTTCATATTTTGGCCATAGTTACATCAGTTATACAAATTACATTTATCTGGTTTGTTCCAGAAACATCTCCTTTATATGACAAGACAGCTTCATCAACAGAAAAGGAATCAAGTGATGAAGATAAAGGAGATATCAAAGAATCAATCTTTGATAAAGCCTATATTAAGAAGGTTTTCATTATGATCGCAGTTATGGCATCTCAACAACTTTCAGGTGCAAATGCCATGATTACAAACTTAAGTTCCTTGTTCGAATCTGCTCATGTTCCACATCCATCTGGTCTTGCAGCTGCAATTACAATGTTTGCTCAAGCTTTGGCTTGCATTGCTGCTGCAGCTATTACAGGAAAGATCAAGAGAAGGATCATGTGGTTAATGTCAACCATTACATGTTTCATTTCTCTATTTGTATATGCTTTGAACCAAAAGTTTAATTGGAGTTCCACTCTCTCCATTGTTCTTCAGTTCTTATACCAGTTTGGATTCGGTATTGCATTGTCACCAATGCCATGGTATTCATCCCCAGAAATGTTCCCACCAGCATTAAGGCCAATGGCTTCTTCAATCAACTCTATGACAAGCTGGCTTTGCGCTTTCATCATTATCTTCGTTTATCCACAGATGAAGGATCATATTGGTGATTTTGGCGCTTTCCTTATATTTTCTGCAGATGCTTTATTTGCAATAATATTTGGATCAATCGTTATAAATGAGCCTTCTAAAGATGATGAAAATCTTGATGACAATAATGATAATATTGACAACAAGAGTAGGTGACAAAAGTGCATACTCTTAAATTAACCTTAAATGTTGAGAGTAGGTGCCAAAGTGCTTACTCTTAAACAACCGTCGGATTTCCGGGTGAAATCGTGACACACTTTCGTCTTTCGTAGGCAGTGGTGGTTGTTACAAAAGGTAACTTCGAATGTAGCGTGAAATCTGCAAAAAAAATTCTGAAATTTGAATGGAGAACACAAAAATTGAATAGTTTACGTCAATAAAAAAGAGAAAAATGAAGCCAATGTGTCTCGAACCTAGGACTTAGAGCAGCAATCCCACTGTTTATCCCATTACACTACATGCATCTCTCACCTCAGTGAATGAGATCAACTATATGATAACTTTTTCCCCATTATATTCTTGTGGAAAAGTGACAAATAGCAACTTTGACCCTCTCTCTATTTGGATCAATCGTTATAAATGAGCCTTCTAAAGATGATGAAAATCTTGATGACAATAATGATAATATTGACAACAATGATGCAGAAGATCCAGAGGCTAAAGATGACTAAATATAAGTAATTTGTTTTAATAAAGATCGATTTTTTGTTATATATAAGTTTTGTTTTATTTCTTTTGTAATATAATCATTTTACTCTAAAGAAAATGGAATTATTTCTTTTTTGAACAGAAACATCCTTTCAATCACTAGTTTAACTCTAATATATTGTCATCATGATTGGGTTTCTGTTCAAAATAGTGAAACTTTGGATACTGTACTGCTATATGAATTAGTTCATTTTAAATTATCAACATAATATCAATCTTTTTTAAAATGTATAATGTTGATTTAAATGATGTGGAATACTTAGAAATGAACAATTACGATTTTTTGAATTAAATTAGAATGTGAAACATTCGATTTCGAAAAAAATGTACCAATTTTAAATTAATTTGTTTAATTCTTAATAAAAAACTATAAAATATACAATATCTTTAATAATTCTCATTATATGGGTTCAATAAACTCATTTTCATTGAATTTTCATCCTTAGAACTATTATAATTTTCGGAGATTTCTCCACCTTCGTGATTTATAATAGGATTTAAGTCCCTTTCGCCATATCTAGCACGGTAACTACTTGCTTCATGACCAATCTTCTTCTGAGAATAGAAAATATAACGCTTTGCTTTGTATGACCAAAAGAAATCCGAAATTCCGTTAAATCCAAAGAAGAAAAGGATTTCATAGAAAATTCTGTAAGGTATAGTTGTAAAATATTTGAAAGCAAATGAATTCCCTGCAATTGCACGATATACGAAATTCTGAGGTGGTTTGTACCTCAATTTCACGAATCTATTTGCTTCTGACTCACAAAATCTGCTTAGGTATGCATTATATGCTGTATTTAACGTATTATCCATAGTTCTATCTAAATCTATGACTGGAATACATGTATATATTACTTTTTCACCTTTTAATGGCTGCCTATCTCCATCTTCTTGCCATGTACAATAAGAAACATCAACTATGTCGTTGGATTCCAATTTAGAATAAATTATTTCGCCGCAATTTGATGCATTTTGGTTGTCTATCTCATAAAGATCTGATAAATGCATATATTTACTTTTTGCTTCTGCAAGGAACCCTATATCATGACTTTTTCCCATTTGTTTTTGATTTTCTAGAGATTTCACAACCATAACTTCATTTTCTTCTTGTATTGTTGAACAACATGAATGTATTCTGAAGGAAATATAAATAATAAGGAGGAGACCGCCAATACAACCGTGAATAAGTGGACCCATATCTTGTTGTACACTATAACAAGGAATTTGTTCAACAAAGTATCCCCAAAACAAATTTAATAGAATATTACAAACCCATATTCGTTTGGAAACACGCGTTTTTGTAATTTTACTGATAATTATAAATATTACTGTTGGAAGGCATACCAAAATAGAAAGAGAGAAAAATTCCAGATGATCGCAATAAAAGTAGAGATTTGCTGGTTTACATTTTGTATAATTGTCGTAAACTATTAAAATTCCATGGCATGTTTCGTTATCAGAATAATACCAATCATACGGTAGGTCCTCCTGATGGCATTTGCAAAACGCTCCAATAATAAATGAAAAAATCAACATTTTAAAATCGTCAGATCTGACAAAAAAAAAGTAATCAGTAGTTATTTTTAAAAATTAAATGTAGACCTTTTCAGTGGTTGATTTTGAATTTTTGAAAAAGTATTCAATTTTTTTAAATAGTAAATCTAAATTCAGTATCTAATAAACTTACGATTGATCATTTTAAACGCTGCCCTGGTCAATTTTTGGAAAATTGATTGAACAAATTTTGGACATTATGAGATATCATTGGGAGAAATTGTAGTTTTTTTGAAGATTAGTGGATATTTTTTAACTTTTGCCGAATGAATATTAATGTATTGTGCATCAAGATTAAAAATCTTGGTAGAATCTGTAACAATTTTGAGAATATCTAATCTGGATGAAGCTGATGATTCCCTAGTGATCGCGCATAAATGGAATGGTCTGATTGGTAATCAAAGGTGAAATCTATAATTTTAGATACTTTGAAAACATACATGTATGATTCAGTATCAAATAAAAACCATTGGTAAACGTTATATTTAAAAATAAATATTTTTTTTAATAAAATAATTAATAACATAGAGAGCGTTAGCTACATTAGGAGTCCGTATTATATGGATTTCGTAAACTCATTTTCATAGCATTATTGTAAGAATTAGTATTTTCTGGTTGAGATTCTGCCGATTCTTGGTATTTTATAGCTGAAACTTGGTCTTGTTCACCATATTTAGTTCTGTAACCATTAGTTTCAAAGTCAACCTTCTTTTCTGAGTAAAATATATGACGTTTTGCTTTATATGACCAAAAGAAGTCCGAAATTCCATTCAATCCTAACAAGAAGAGAAATTCATAGAATATTCTGTATGCTTTTGTTGTGAAATATTCGAAAACAAGAGATTCTCCAGCAATTGCACGATATGTGAAATTTTCTGGTGGAACATACATCTCTGATGTATACATATCATCATTATTCTGCGCACATAACCTTTTCACCTCATAATAAGCTCTATTTTCCTCTGCATTCATTGAATTATCTAAATATGTACAAGAAACACATTTGTATATTATTTTTTCGCCTTCAATTTGATGTCTGACTCCATCTTCTTGCCAACTTCCATAATTTATCTGAACTTGCTCCCCATGATCTGGTTTTGGACCGACATAGTAGAGATTTCCAGCAAATAATGCATTAAGATTATCTTTTTCGTAAAGTTCTGAGAGAGGGATGTGTTCTGCTTTAGATTCAGCAAAAAATAAACTTATTGAATTTGATGTTCGATCCTTTTGATCAATAAGTGATTTTACCTTATAAAAATCATTCTTTTCCATACACAGGGTACAACAAACTATTGATCTGATTAAGATGTAAAAAGGAATTAAGATACCTGAAGCAATAATCAATATCGTGGAGGATGTTTAAAATAAATCTAAACGTAAACAGGAGCTTTGTTGAATCATGAGGGTAAATAAGAAATTAAGAATAATGTTCGTAAACCATGTCCAATTTGGGACGTGTGTCTTCGTTACTTTACTAATTATTATGAATGTTATTGTTGGCAAACATCCAAGCAGTGCAAGAGCAATGTAACCACTATTGTTGCAATAGTTATATAAGGATTCTGAAAAGCATTTTCGATCTTTTAAAGAAAGAATTCCGTGGCATGTTTCATTATCAGAACATGTGTATTGTGCAGGAAGATAATAATCACCACACTTGCATAGCACTGCTGAAATAAAAGAAAAAAAGAGCATTCCTTGAAAATAAAAATCGAAAACTTTACATTTATATTTACAAAGAAATGAAAATAAGAGTGGTCTCAATTGATAATCAACCGTCAATTTTATCAGAAAATAATTTTAGTAAGATTCGTAATTGTTATGAAGATAAAATTTACTTCAATAGTACTAGTATTATTATTTTTCTTTTATTCAGAAAAAAAAAGTTATGATTGAATAATCAAACATGTAAATAAGAACTCATATTGAGTGAAATGAGTACAATAATAGAAGCACGTACCAACATAATACTTTTTCGGATCAATTACTGCAAAAGGAAACATGATCTTGTTTGAAACTGCTTCTTTGTCGTCTACAGAATAAACCATTAAGTCATGTATACCTAAAGAAAGCGATATCAACTGTCTTTCAAATATAAATGGCATCCACGAATCTGATTTGATTTCAATCTCTTTATGTTTCGTGAGATTCTTGTCGTCAATCGAAGTATAAAGAGAAACAGTTGATGCACTATCCATATCACGAACTGATCCAGAAATTCTCATTGTATTTGTATAGAACTGTACATAAGAAATATTATCTGCTTGTAATTCAGGAGTTCGATTTGCAACAATTATAAAACCAAATGAATAATTATTTGATTCAAATCCAAGTTGATCAACTGCAATAATCTCCATATTATGGAATGAACCAACATCATAAGGGCCAATTGTGAATTTGAATGTATTTCTCACTGTTTGTTTGTTACAACTAACATTCAATGTTTTCAAAACTCTTCCTTCTTCTCTCAATTTTATCTCAACATAAGTATCATCATAAACTCCAATATCAATCTCGGCTTTTTCGCCGTTTGTGTATTGCTTCTTGAGCTCTCCATAGACAGTCATTCTGGGTTTGTCATTGATAACAATAGGAATACTCAAGGTGGTCACAGCACCGCTTTTCGATGAAACTGTGTAATCTAAAGTGTAATGACCTGATTTTTTAGGTGGAGTTATATCATCAACAATGGTGAATGGAGTACCTTCATCATTGTGTGTTATTACTTCTGTTTGGTCATTGAGAACTCTAGTAACTGTACATTTTTCGCCTGATCCAAGGGTGTTGACGTTGAAATAGAGGTGTATTGTGTCATCAAGGGGATAACAATCTTCAATTGTGTCAGTTAGTGTCAGAAAGTATCCAAGAACTGTGATACGTGCGGCACCGTTTCCATACCAACCTAGGGAAGTTGAGGGGGTTCCAGTGGGTGTTGGGATTGTTTCATTTCCTGGAATTGTTTTCTTCTCAATTCCATTGAATGAAATAACTTTATCGATGTAACCTGACCCACCACCAGCACCACCTGAAAAAGATGCTGCAATGGTGTAGCCTCCATAGTACCCGCCGCCACCACCACCGGAAGTAGCTCCCAGGTTAAATTTACCATTTTCGCCAACTCCAGGTGAATATCCAACAGTTTGTGATGCAGCAGTACCATATTTAGGTCCATCTTCCATTGGTCTGCTTCCTTCAATTCCTCCGCCATATCCACTTCCTAGATAATTATGGTTGCAGGTGTCAAATCCATTACCTCCTCCACCACCTGCAACAATCACTCTGTTTGCTAACTGATTTCCATTTACTCTGACATCTGTTGCACCTCCTCCACCACCTCCTTGATCATCTCTATCACTATCGTTATCTTGGGCACTATCTCCATCGCCATTGTAACCACCTTTTACGGCTCGTGTCGATGGTTTTAATCCATTTTCACCTTGACCTCCAATATAAACATAAACTTTTGTCTCTTCTGTCAATTGAAGAACGCCGACGGAATAACCACCTTTTCCTTGTCCTTCCAAATATCGTCCATTGCAATAGCTCCCTCCACCTTGTGCTCCCCAAACATCGACTTTGTAATAGCCACCGGGGAGCCTTGATTCATACCAAGTGCAGGTAGATTTTGAGGTGCATGGATATTGGAATAAAACAGATGTTGCATTAGAGACAATATTAAGAGAAGCACCATTTGTACTACCTAGAGACCAAGAATTCATTTCTCGGCATCAAAAAAATCAAAGTTTTTGATGCCCGCTAAAAAAATGAAGAGAAGAATGATAAAGTAAGAACAACCATTTTTAAAGGAAAAATGACAATTTAAATATAAAAAAAATATTAAGTGATTTCTTAAGCACAAAGGCTATATAGTGTATACAAGCGTTAGAATCAATGAATAATGAAAATTAACCAAAATGATAAATATTGTTGTAAACAGAAATTCATCAAAAGTGACACCTCAGAAAAGCTAAAATATTGAATTTTTGGAACTTTTGATAGAGCACGTTTTTAAATATTAAATAAAGTAAATGTATATTTTGTAAAGATTATTTTTAATAAAAAATAAAATTTTGAAGAAGAACACAAAATCTTCTGAAAAATAATATCACATAAACTCATATTATTTTCTAATATATAACTATTTTATATAAAAATCAAATTCAATGATCTTAAAAGCGAAGGATAAACCTCAAAATTTACGAATATAATGAGTGGGAATATAATGCTTATCTATCATAAAACCATATGAAATATCAATTTTTGCTTTACGCCTAATTTTTGACGACAATTAGCAAAAAATGTTAAATGTTAACACTCAGTCCATTTGAATATGAAAAATAAAATTGACTTTGATTAAATGTTTTTATTTATCATGCAATTCTTCTTGCGACCAAAGATTTGAATAAAAGTTCAAAAAATAAGATAGCTTAAGGATACCCTTACGTGTCAGATTTTTTGCGCATACGAAGAAGTCATGCTAGACATGAGCTATAAACCTGAAATTTTAGCAACATATTTAAAACTTTTTAAACTACAATACACTTTAATATTCAAGAACAAAAATATTCTTTTTAGAAATTACATAATTATTTTATGTGAAATCTATATAAAAACATATTTTGCGAGCGTAACTTTTTTCTTTATAAGCACCTTATATGACTGATAAACTGTGAAGGCACATAATTGTTAATTCATAGAGTTGATATGTTTCCAAAATTGAGAGGAAATTTGAAAATTGAATACCCTTTCAATTCAATTTTCAAAAGATATCAGCTCCTTCAATAATTGAAGGACGATTTTGATCATTTGCTCTTAAAACAAGTATGCCATGGAGAAAAAAGTTACGCTCGCAAATCTGAAATATAACTATCATATAAAAAAATTAAATTTCTAATTTTTTACTCTATAGATATTATTGGCCACTTGTGTAATGCATAAAAGTTTATGTCATATGCATACATTTGGAAGTATGGGAGACGAGGGAAATTACTTCTATGAGGCACTAGGATTTTTAAAAATTTCTCTATCGGACTCACCATTCAATTTCTCGAAAATTAAAAAAAATCAATAATAGCTAAAATGTATTATGCATAACAAATTTTAATGTTACACGGTATTTTTTGAACTTCATGACATGAATTTTCTTTATATTATTTTTTTTTGGATTTTCTATGATTTATGCGATAGGCTGGAACAACATTGTAAGTGCAATGATATCATTTATAGAGAAATCTAAAACTTCAGCATTCAGAACTCGCAACCACAAAAATTTCATTTGCTAAGTAAGTAAAGTTGATTAAGTTCGACACTTAGCTTTTATACGTAAAACCAAGTGTGTATTGTTATTTCTTGTTAAATTATTGAGAAAAAAATAAATTGTAAGAGAAACGATACTGATTATTGAAATAATATTGAGGGTAGCTGCAGATTTCTTCATTAACATGCCGGAAATTTGTTAATCTTGGTTTTCTATCATAAAATCTGTCGAAGAATCTAAAAACGGAGATATGAAATAGAGATCATGTAAATCTAGAGTATCCTGTCAGAAAAATAGACTAAGCATGTAACCCTTTTTTGGTCATAAACACTTTTTACCACTTAGTCATACAGATGATCATTAAATTTAAACGAGCACTTTTTGTCAGAATTTATTCTTTTACAAAGACAGAAGATTTTAGTATTATTTAATATTAGTGCTGTAGCAAAATTCAAAAAACGGTGAAAATTCAGTGAATTTGTGAATTCACATTTTTTTTCGACATTTTTCTTGATATATCCATGCACATTAAGAACACAGCTTTGATACGCTTAAAAAAGCATATTTCATATGAAATTGTTAAAGAAATAAACAATTTATATAAAAATTGCACTTATGGGCAGTTTAGATATATAATTTATATATAACATATATACAAATCCATAGACAAAGTGCAATAACTACAATGTTGTAGAAAATTACAGCAGAAATACTGACTTTTTGAAGGATAATAAGAATTCTTCTAAATGTTGTATTTTTATAATTTGATTGATTTTTTTTACTATTTCATTAATCTTTTATGAATAATAATTATTTTTAATATATGTGCTATTAAAATTTCAAATTTTGACTAATATATCTAAGTTATCTGAACGAAACATTTAGAAAATATCATACTTACATTGAAATAGCAAGTAGAGCATATTAATAGCAAGTTTCTTGGCTTTATATCTATCATCTATTGTTGTTTGATCAAACAAAATTCACTCTATTATATGGTGTCAATTAATTAAAACAATTTTTAATAGTTATTTATTTAGTGCGAATAAGTGCAAACTCATAAATGAATAACTTAATAGTAGAAATGAATTATCTGATATAAATCTCACATTTTGTCCATCAGAAATACTTTAATTGCATACGCATAACTATTAGTAATACGTCTGGAGTGTCAATTAATAACAATCCCACAACAAGTAAAATTCAGATTTTTTATTAAACTTATTTTTTCCTAAAAGTTTTCTCAAATTACTATATATACATATGTGGATAAAATAATAGTAATATTGTAAAAAATTAGATAATTTTTTTTATTTGAGAACCTCTCAAAAGTTCATTCAATTTATCAATTGTTTCAGTTTGATGTATATTTCATTTCTGGAGCCTAAAACTTTAGCAATCATGACAATATCATATTCTCTTTCTAACTACGCAATGTAAGGGTATCCTTAAAAAATAATATACGGTAGTGTTTACTAATAGATGAATAGTATATAAATTCTATTAAAATGGATTTGATCCAAAAAAATATATAAAATTTGATCATAAATAAAATCGTTTTAAATTACTTCTTCATTTAAATTATAACAATTATTTTTGGTTTTATATTTTTTTGGATCAAATCCATTTTAATAGAATTTATATACTATTCATCTATTAGTAAACTACCGTATATTATTTTTTAAGCTATCTTATTTTTTGAACTTTTATTCAAATCTTTGGTCGCAAGAAGAATTGCATGATAAATAAAAACATTTAATCAAAGTCAATTTTATTTTTCATATTCAAATGGACTGAGTGTTAACATTTAACATTTTTTGCTAATTGTCGTCAAAAATTAGGCGTAAAGCAAAAATTGATATTTCATATGGTTTTATGATAGATAAGCATTATATTCCCACTCATTATATTCGTAAATTTGAGTTTATCCTTCGCTTTTAAGATCATTGAATTTGATTTTTATATAAAATAGTTATATATTAGAAAATAATATGAGTTTATGTGATATTATTTTTCAGAAGATTTTGTGTTCTTCTTCAAAATTTTATTTTTTAAAAAATAATCTTTACAAAATATACATTTACTTTATTTAATATTTAAAAACGTGCTCTATCAAAAGTTCCAAAAATTCAATATTTTAGCTTTTCTGAGGTGTCACTTTTGATGAATTTCTGTTTATTACAATATTTAAACTTGATTTTTGAAGGAAAATTCACAAAATTGAATAAATTCAAATAATTTTTATTCAAAAATAACTAGTTATTTGAGTTTAATACTAATTATCTATTCAAACTACAAAGTTTGTAATTTAAAATATTTGTGAGATCAGATTGAATTAATTCAAGGTTCTTTTCAATTAATATTAATGACCATATTACGCATTTTCGAACATTCTAAACCAAATATATAAAAATGGGAGACGAATGTTAAATTTGCTAGACATGGGGGAGTTGTCTGCAAAGTTTTAGCTCTTATCTCTAACAAAAAATTAATTTTTAAAAAAATGACCGAAAACGTTTCACAGCGAGAAAAAAATAAAAGGCAAGATAGAATTTTCTAGACATAAAGAAGTTGTTTACCGAGTTTTAGCTCTTATCTCTAACAAAAAATTAATTTTTAAAAAAATGACCGAAAACGTTTCACAGCGAGAAAAAAATAAAAGGCAAGATAGAATTTTCTAGACATAAAGAAGTTGTTTACCGAGTTTTAGCTCTTATCTCTAACAAAAAATTAATTTTTAAAAAAATGACCGAAAACGTTTCACAGCGAGAAAAAAATAAAAGGCAAGATAGAATTTTCGAGACATAAAGAAGTTGTTTACCGAGTTTTAGCTCTTATCTCTAACAAAAAATTAATTTTTAAAAAAATGACCGAAAACGTTTCACAGCGAGAAAAAAATAAAAGGCAAGATAGAATTTTCTAGACATAAAGAAGTTGTTTACCGAGTTTTAGCTCTTATCTCTAACAAAAAATTAATTTTTAAAAAAATGACCGAAAACGTTTCACAGCGAGAAAAAAATAAAAGGCAAGATAGAATTTTCTAGACATAAAGAAGTTGTTTACCGAGTTTTAGCTCTTATCTCTAACAAAAAATTAATTTTTAAAAAAATGACCGAAAACGTTTCACAGCGAGAAAAAAATAAAAGGCAAGATAGAATTTTCTAGACATAAAGAAGTTGTCTACCAAGTGTCAGCTGTTACTTCTTCTCAATACTGATATAAAATAAAAATCTTTATTATTTATTTAACCTTTATTGTTTCATTAAACTTCATTTATTTTATATTATAGTTTTATTCTTTTAGCTACTTGTAAAATAATCTACTTTTATATCATCATTTTACCGGATTATTCTTCAGTACATCGATTGTGTATCTAAAATAATATCATTATCCTTATTCTGTTTTTTCCAAAATTCTTTTAAATATCTTTTTTGGTTAGATTACTTTATACTTTTTACTTTTATTTTTTAATTTCAAAAAAAATTTGGTGATTGTTCTATTCTGTTACAATGTGCATTATCATATTCTAATGAATTATTCATTACATACATTTAAAAAAACTTGTTAAAAATGAAATTAAAAAATTATGTTTATTATTACGCTGTGAATGTGTCAACAGCGGTCATGCCTGTATCTGTATCCCATATTTGCCACAACCTTTCTGTATCTGCATTTGTGTATTTCGGTTTCAGCCGATACATTTGATTTGGCGTGTAATTTGTTCCAGTTAATGGATTAATTGGGAGATCTTCATGCGGTGTGTTATTATTGTACTCCCAAATAAAGGCAGGAATAGCCTGAATGCTTTGGCAGCGCTCCAATGTCGGCCAGAATCTCTCAATCTTCCCATTTTGGTAGGGAGAATGAGAGTCTGTATGCCGCCATTGGACGCCCCAAAGATCAAGTAGATCTTGAAAGGCGCCCCTATTTTCTGAACCGTTGTCGGTCCAGAAACAATAAGGGGCGCCAAATTCAATGAAGGCGGAAGCCGCAACGTTCGCTGTCGTCGCTGCCAGCATATCTGGTATTTGTATACACGCTAGGACTTTGCGGCTAAAATCGTCGATTATGCCATAAATATACTGGCCACGAACACCCCTAAAATAATGAACATCTGCGTGCCAGATAAGATTGGGTGAAAGCGCCCAATATCTTACTGCTGTTTCTGGCCCGGCATGCTCTAATCGCGTCTTGGTGAAATGATTTTCTTTGAAGTATCTGCGTACTTCTCTATAAGATACATCAATTTGTTGTAATTTCAAACGTTTCCATTGTTTTGTTTGACCACAGGGAAAGGCCCAGTGGTCATGTATCACAGCAAGAGCTTTGATTTGGTCGTAGGGATTGACCCTACGACCTTTCTTGCCTTTAGGCAATGGGATATTCTGTAAGCTAAATTGATTTTGTAAAAAAGATTTTGAAACATCTAAATATTTGAAATCATTTGATTGAAGGGTTGGGGCGATGGGAACATGGGTGCAAGCTTCTTCCCATGTCATTTTACCTTCTTCAATCTGATTGGAAATACCAATTAGGTAAATTCGATCGGCATACCCTTTGTAAGGATTCATTCTAATGAAGTACGTTAACAATCAAAATATTCTATAAGTGTCTAGTATGGAATTCAAAAGAATAAAGAAAATGGTAACGTAAATAAACGTATTATGAAATAATTTATAATTAAAATGAAAAAAAGAAAAAATAATAAGTAAAGTGACTGGAAATGAAAATTAAAATCAGTGTACAGTTTTATTTTTTTCTCGCTGTGAAACGTATTCGGTCTTTTTTTTAAAAATTAATTTTTTGTTAGAGATAAGAGCTAAAACTCGGTAAACAACTTCTTTATGTCTAGAAAATTCTATCTTGCCTTTTATTTTTTTCTCGCTGTGAAACGTTTTCGGTCATTTTTTTAAAAATTAATTTTTTGTTAGAGATAAGAGCTAAAACTCGGTAAACAACTTCTTTATGTCTCGAAAATTCTATCTTGCCTTTTATTTTTTTCTCGCTGTGAAACGTTTTCGGTCATTTTTTTAAAAATTAATTTTTTGTTAGAGATAAGAGCTAAAACTCGGTAAACAACTTCTTTATGTCTAGAAAATTCTATCTTGCCTTTTATTTTTTTCTCGCTGTGAAACGTTTTCGGTCATTTTTTTAAAAATTAATTTTTTGTTAGAGATAAGAGCTAAAACTTTGCAGACAACTCCCCCATGTCTAGCAAATTTAACATTCGTCTCCCATTTTTATATATTTGGTTTAGAATGTTCGAAAATGCGTAATATGGTCATTAATATTAATTGAAAAGAACCTTGAATTAATTCAATCTGATCTCACAAAATATTTTAAATTACAAACTTTGTAGTTTGAATAGATAATTAGTATTAAACTCAAATAACTAGTTTATTTTTGAATAAAAATTATTTGAATTTATTCAATTTTGTGAATTTTCCTTCAAAAATCAAGTTTAAATATTGTAATAAACAGAAATTCATCAAAAGTGACACCTCAGAAAAGCTAAAATATTGAATTTTTGGAACTTTTGATAGAGCACGTTTTTAAATATTAAATAAAGTAAATGTATATTTTGTAAAGATTATTTTTAATAAAAAATAAAATTTTGAAGAAGAACACAAAATCTTCTGAAAAATAATATCACATAAACTCATATTATTTTCTAATATATAACTATTTTATATAAAAATCAAATTCAATGATCTTAAAAGCGAAGGATAAACCTCAAAATTTACGAATATAATGAGTGGGAATATAATGCTTATCTATCATAAAACCATATGAAATATCAATTTTTGCTTTACGCCTAATTTTTGACGACAATTAGCAAAAAATGTTAAATGTTAACACTCAGTCCATTTGAATATGAAAAATAAAATTGACTTTGATTAAATGTTTTTATTTATCATGCAATTCTTCTTGCGACCAAAGATTTGAATAAAAGTTCAAAAAATAAGATAGCTTAAAAAATAATATACGGTAGTGTTTACTAATAGATGAATAGTATATAAATTCTATTAAAATGGATTTGATCCAAAAAAATATATAAATTTGATCATAAATAAAATCGTTTTAAATTACTTCTTCATTTAAATTATAACAATTATTTTTGGTTTTATATTTTTTTGGATCAAATCCATTTTAATAGAATTTATATACTATTCATCTATTAGTAAACACTACCGTATATTATTTTTTAAGCTATCTTATTTTTTGAACTTTTATTCAAATCTTTGGTCGCAAGAAGAATTGCATGATAAATAAAAACATTTAATCAAAGTCAATTTTATTTTTCATATTCAAATGGACTGAGTGTTAACATTTAACATTTTTTGCTAATTGTCGTCAAAAATTAGGCGTAAAGCAAAAATTGATATTTCATATGGTTTTATGATAGATAAGCATTATATTCCCACTCATTATATTCGTAAATTTTGAGGTTTATCCTTCGCTTTTAAGATCATTGAATTTGATTTTTATATAAAATAGTTATATATTAGAAAATAATATGAGTTTATGTGATATTATTTTTCAGAAGATTTTGTGTTCTTCTTCAAAATTTTATTTTTTATTAAAAATAATCTTTACAAAATATACATTTACTTTATTTAATATTTAAAAACGTGCTCTATCAAAAGTTCCAAAAATTCAATATTTTAGCTTTTCTGAGGTGTCACTTTTGATGAATTTCTGTTTACAACAATATCTTATTTGCCATATAATTATAAATATAATGAAACAAATTCGAAATTGAAAAGAATGACTTTTTCTGTTCTTTCAATCATTCAATTTGAATTTTGCAATATTGGATTTCTCATTAAATAGCTATTAAAAACAACAAGCAATTTAACTTACTTTCAAATTTATTTGTGTTATATTCAATCTTCTCAAAACTTATAATTTTCGGCTATAGCATGATTATATGCTATATAATATAATAAACCTATAATAGTATCCTTCTTTCAATTATTTGAAGAGAAAACCAAAAAAATCTATTTTCGGTCTATTGTATTGAAATTGAATCGTCACCACGAAGTGGCTCTCAAAAGTATAAAAATAAATCGATGACCCTCAGAAAGAAAGATAATCAAAACGGATGAAATCAAGCACTACTGATATAATTTTAATTTTTTTTTTGAAAATATACTTATATCTTAATGGAGCATTGGTAAACAGTTTTATTTTCCTAAATAATATTTAATATTTTATCTATTTTGTTCGTTCAGAGAAATTCTAAACAACTGTACAATAATTATCTCAAAATATATATTTTATAAATGCTAAGTTATTGCTAGAATACTAGCCGCACATCATGTACATGTAAATACTTTTTCTTGCAACCGAAAATAATCTTTGAATTTTTGTTATTAGAAATTTTGTCATTGAAAGGGAACAAATATTAGCAAGGAAAGACATTTGTATGAATTCATGAAAATTATATTATTTTCTTTTAGATGAAAAATATAATATTTTGAATATAAATGAAGGGTACTTATTATGTGTACTACATTTATTGGTTAAATTTAATTTCAAACTATTTTTTATTTCTTTGAACTTTATTAACAAGATATTCAAAATTAATTTCAAATTCTTTTTAATAATTTATTATCTCTACATCATTTGCATAATGAAATAAATATAAAAATTTCTTGTCCGAATTAACTTATTCAAAGAATTAGCATTTTATAACTACTGTCTTTAACACAACAATATCCTTAAAAATTTCTAGGAGATATTTTTCTCAAATTATATTCACTTTTGAGTGCGTTCTTTTTAATATTTTCAATTAAACCGTTTTGAAACAATTTTAAATCATTTTTAACAATGTTTTGCTCATTACTTATCACTTCAGCATTTGCAATTCACAACAGAACAGAGAATATAACACTTAAAGACGATCAAACTCTTGTTTACAGTCACTTAAAAAATGGATCATACCTCATGCCACTTTATGTTAAGGATATTTGGCCCGAATGTGAAAACGATACAAGTATTACATTTTGCTGGTACTATTTAACTAGAGGAAATGCATGGGATTTTGGTTATGCCAAATTGCCAAACGGAGTACAACACCCTCAGAAAGGTCAGTATTGCACAGATTTTGATGTTCTTTATAGAGGTGCTTGGACAACATTTGCTAAGACAGGATGGTGGCCAATTTGGAGTATAGATGATAGTATTTATTATCGTATCCATGGATCAGAAAATGGTACTAATACGCTGAGAAATGTCACAATCAGAACAAAAATCACACAACCTGCAGGCCCCAATTACTTGTTAATAGAATTTATTGCACATAATCATGATTCTCAACCACATATTGTTAATGTATTATCTTACACAGATGTTATGATTGGCAATAAGGATTCTGCACCCATTAAATGGTATCCACCAAATACCCATAATGGATTTTCAATGGAAAATGAAGAAGCCAACAGAACGTTGGTATTAATCGGCAAAAACGGTTTCGGTGTGAACCCTGTAGATTATTTATGGTTTGGTCTATATTCGGAGGGTCAAACATATAAGTTTAATAAGACAGACGAGAGCCCAACACCTATAGGCCGCGATACTGCATTTTCATTAGGATGGACTAATAGAAGAATTTATCCAGGCCAGAATCTATCATTCGGCGTTCTCTTAGGTATTGGTGAATTTAATCAGTTGAAGTTCCCACCAACCATCACAGTTGATGAATCTAAGTTCAAGATTAACTATGCTCCAGGAGAAAAAATCAAAATACCAATCAGAGTTCAAGATAAATTGACTGGTAGTTATGGATTACGAGTGACTTGCGAGTTCCCCAATAATGAAAGCAAAACACATAATATCAGTAAAACCGAAGGCACCGTTAATGAACCTGTTGAATTTGAATATGACCTTGGCCAGAATATCAGTAGATATCCAGTAAAGTGCTATGCAGAAAACTACGATATTACTAAAACGGATCATCCAGGACCAAAGTCAAATGATTTCAACAGAGTTTTCTTAGTTAATGAAGCTCCAAGACTTACATTAACTAGCCAAATCAATGACCAATATGGAAGAGGTGGGTATGTTAACATCGATGGTATAGTTTGGGATGACACACGGGTTACAATGACTTACCAAGTTGATGATAATTTTTACTACAGAGCAGATGGTGATATCACTTGCGACAAACAAGAGAAACTATTCTCAAAACAAATTCAAATTTCACCTTCTTATTCATATGGTAAGCATACACTTCAAATATGGGCTGAAGATGAATTCGGTGTTAAGTCACCTATTGTTAAGAAAGAATTCTCCGTCGTTCAGAACCATCCACCAGAAGTTAACATCACTGAAGTCGATGATAACAAATCAGGCAACTATTATAATTCACCAATCACATTCAAGCTTCAAGTCAGAGATGTTGATGTCGATGATGTAATTCTTTTAATGGTCAAGACACCAGGCACAAATCAATTTGCCCAAATTATGACAACACCAGCGAAACAACAAGAATGGATTAATTTCACATACACATATGATGTTGAAGCATTGCATGAGGAAGGCAATTACGCCATCATATTCCAGGCAACAGATAGAATTGGTTCCCCATCAAGGAATAAAGAATATACATTCATTTTCAAGAAACACCCTGTTCCAACACCAGCACAACCACGATCTGAAAAGACAGACAACAGTGGAAATATTGAGCAATGCGCAATGGTAACAGACGCGAACGGTGATAGTTTCTTAAACTGCACAATGACACATGTAATAATTGACGTTAATCAGAAAACACCATCTGCATCAAATGATGATGGTGATGCTTTCAGTAATCAAGGTGATGCAAATAAGAGCAATTCTAAGAAGAAGGACAAATATTTGATCATTGGTATTGCAGCAGCTGCTGTTGTTGCAGCTGCTGCAATAATTGCTGCCATCCTTATCGCCAAAGAGGCATCTAAGAAAGCTAATGATTTCGGCTTCAATCCAGAGACAGAAGAAGCACTCCAAGCAAACAATGACTTCGTCCAAGAAAAGGAGAATCCAGTTTATAATGAAAACGCTCAGGACGATCCATTTGCAAATGAATTCGAAGATGTCGATTAGCCAGCGAATGTTTTCACATAAGCTAATATTTTACCAACAAAATATTATATTTCACCGTAAATTATATTTTTATCAGACTGATTTCATTTTTATACCATACAAGATAATATATTATCAATAAAGTTTAATATGAAAACCTGATTAATTTTTTTTGTAATTTAAAGTAAGGATTTATCGTAAGATTCTTTTACAAACATATAGAAAACATTACGAATTAACGTATACTTTAGATAAAATTCCGTTTCTTTCTAAATTCATTAAAATGCCTAAAAAATTAATACCATTAAAGGAATTCTAATCATACCATCAAATGTGATAATAAATATATAATTAATGGGCGCAAACACAATCTATAATTACTTTTACTTTAATGAAGTGAGACAATTGCGTCCAGAGGTATGATCTCATAAGGTGATTTATCATCAAAATTTACAATCGTAATAAGGTAGCTCTAATTACAAATCATCAATGAAGCAATTTTATATTAAATATTATTTGGATTGGTTTCTTTAACATTTTATTGATATTGGAGAATGTAAAGGAAACAATGAGCAAGGATGTACTAAATGAATGCCAAAATAAAGATTCTAATTAACTGTCGACTTTCCATAAATTTTTATAAATTTGTTGCTGCTTGTATTATAAACTTCTAATTTTCCCATTTTTTCCAAAATAAAATGCGAATTGAAAATTATTTCAAGTTCCTTTTTTATGAATTTGGCACGGATAAGCCAATGCTAGTATACAGTGAACATTGATAATTCATTTTTATTAAAAAATTAAAAATTTACACTAATCAATAAAATCAAGAAATATTATTGGATTTTATTACATATAGTTGCATCAATTCTAGAATCAAATCATAAAAATGACTTTTGTATATATTTTTAGTAATAATATTTACTTTTTAAGGATTTGCTATTTACAATTTCTCATAAATGCAATTTTCGAAAATTTTGATATGCAAAAATATAATAAGATTCCTTTAGTTGCAATATTCTTCGAGATTTTTGTTTTATCATTCTTTCATTGCTATAAGTGGTCCAACAAAATGAAATTGATTGCATCTTTTTCAAATATTTTCGAAATATTATTTATTATCACATATGCATTTCAATATTTTATTTCCTGAATTTGAAATCAAATCGAATTGAGAACTTTTCAGTGAATTCGATATCTTAAAAATTTTATTTTTAAGGGTGCACCCGTATGTACGTTTATTTGAGAGGAGGAGGATTACCCTCTCAATTTTGAGGGATTCGTTAGTTTATTTTCTCGATGAATATGCAATAAAATTTGATTTTTACCTTATCAATATACTTCATATAATATACACATGTTCATGTAAAAACCTTTTTCCAAAATCCTCAGGAATTAACGGATTTTTGAATTTTAAGAATTTTTTTCGAATTTTTTCGAAAAAAAAATATTTTCAGAACAGCCTTAACGGCTAAGATTTAGGAACAATGTTAAGTAGAGATGCGAGTTTCCGAATTTTTTTAGCCCTGGGATGTCATAACCGCTGCGGTTTTGTAAAATTTGGGATAAATTTTGACAATCCATTTTTTGTGGGATGTACGTTTATATCAATTTGCTCGGCGTTTGCCGAGCTATTGTACAATCCTACTCGAATTCATTACGCAGCCCTGGTCACTCAAAGGCCAGGGCATACAATTACAAAATAGTAGAGTGAGACTCTTCTAATTTCTTCCAATCACAAGGAAGATCTTAGAAGAGCCTCACTCTACTCGAACACATTACGCAGCTCCTGCTCAACAATGAACAGGTCTTACCACTTTGAGAGGCTTTCGCTCGAGTTCTGATGCAGATCCCAACGCGAGCGAGAGTCTCTCAAGCAAGCTTCTAATTCGTAGCTAGAGTTTCACTCTTATGAACTGGCAGCCAATTTGAGTGACTTTCGCTCGAGATCTAATGAAAAATCAGAACTCGGCCAAAAATTGCCCAAACAGGCTTGTAATTCGTAGCTATAGTATTGATCGTATGGATGTGTTGCCAATATGAGAGACTTTCGCTCGATGTCTGATATTGCATCAGACATCGAGCGAAAGTCACTCAAAACAGCTTAGACATGTCTATTTTGACGGCATTAAATGATTTCATAGGAAATGTCTCAGTTGTTAATTAAGTTCACGTGAGCTTTTATGAATGAAAATAAGTAAAAAAAAAGAATTTTCTCAAAAAAAATTGTGTACGCATTGAAATTTTTATCTATAAATTTAGATATGTCATCAATAATATAATATAATTTTAAATTCGTGGAGTACACTTGGGATAATTGAATATGGGCTACCCCATCCCAACCTCTCAAACTTCCTCTGAATTTGGACAAGGTATCCCAATCCCAAAGACCTATCTGAATAAAATGAAATAAGTATATTATATATATTATTTATTTGCTAATAATGAGCATAAATCGCTAAAATTATGAAGAAATTAAAAATTAAAAATTAAAATTAGAAAAAATTGTTGATTTAATGAGAGAATATTGTATAAAAATAGAATTATTAGCTAAAATACGTATTAATTTTATGATATTTCAATCACATTAACGAAAATCGCCCATTTTTAATTCAAATGGGCGGGAAAAAAAATAAAATTCCAAAAAAAAATTGAATTGGGGAAACGATAGGGGACAGGATATGAGAAAACCCATATGTTTGGGAATTTTTCGCATCACTAATGTTAAGTATCAAAAAGAAAGGAGGTCTGATATAGACAACATATATCGTTGAAGGTTGAAAAAATCTCTAATATTTGAGCCAAAATTTCAAATTTTAATTTTTTGAAAAAAGAGGCCACCCGTATGTACGTTTATTTGAGAGGAGGAGTATTATATTTTTGAAAGGGTGAAACATTATGAATATGTTAATTATATAATAATATGTATTATTATAAAAAAGAAAAAATAAAGCACGTTAAATTTTTTCTTTCTTGATTTTTTACAAAATCTACTTAGAATTATGCAAAATATGACTAAATAATTATAAATTTCAAGTTAAATTTTAATTTTGATAAATAATTTAAATTTCAAAATATCAAGTTCAGTTCGACTATGTATGTAGTAATTCCTCAATAAAGTGCCAAAACCCTATTAAAATATATGAACATTTTCAACATTTTAATGTTTTTATTTAAAAATTTGATGGAATATGAGCTTCAAACAATTATTATGTAAATAAAAATAATTAAATATATCTATTTATTCGTATTACAACCGTAGTAAGTCGATTCTTCCTTTCTTCTACTGAGTTTTGAATTTGATTTCGAATTGTAAAGAGATTCAAAGGGAAAATACTAGCGGATAAAAACTACCTCCATGAAAGGGTCAGAATGGAGTCAAGTTGTATTTTTTGATATTTTTTGCTTTTCGAGCCTAAATAGGTAGCCAAGATAATGCCTAAAAATAAGGTTCTAAATTCTGAAGTTTACATGATCCTCTCGTGTGCACCCTTAAAAATTAATTTTATAAGATGATTTCGGATACAACTTTGATTTGAAAATCAGAAATTTCATTCTATATTAGATATAGAAAAATATTTTCTGGCTATTTCGGAAATAAAATGATAATTTACAACATGAAATTGTATTCCAGACTTTTTAAAAGTTACAAATTAATGATCAAGCTATTTTCACGAAATTATAATGTTTTATATATCCGAGATCAAGAAATATTGATATACAACAATCAGAAATTTGGGTATTTTTCAACAGATTAAAAAATTAGTATGTTTTAGGGCGCGAAACGAATTAAATCAAACTATTTTACTGAAAGACAAGTTCGAAGTCATCATCATCGACGCCTTCGTAGATAACTTCGATTGGAGCCCAATCTGGCATTTCAAACTTAGTAAGTAAGTCCATAGCCTGCTTGATGGCATGCTTCTTGGCATCCTTTGGTGCCTTCTTGGCAACATATGCGAAGATCTTGTTGCCATTTCTAACAAATGCAACGCCGTCCTTTGGAAGAGCAGACTTTTGAACAGCTGCATCCTTTACGATCATCTTTCCTGTTGAATCATAAATTGCCTTGATAAATGACTTTTCGAAAGCAACATCATCATCTTGGGCAGCGCCAATCTCACCATCGTTGCCAATGATCTTGTCGAACTCAGCATTTGGCTCATCTTCGATTCTGATAACTTCAGCTTTCGGTTCGGACTTCTTCAAGGATTCGAGAGCTCTTTCTGATTTCATCTTCTCGAATGTGTTTGCCTTGTTGCCGATCCAAACGAAGAACTTTCCTGGAGCGTGCAAAATGAAAACATCGCCATGGTTCAAGTTTCCACGCTTTGGTTCCATGACCTCGACAACAACCTGCTTTCTTCCCTTGATTCTGTACAAATCAACGTGGTTGTCCTTTGTGACCTGCTTGAATCCGGATGCAGCACCTCCATTAAGGTAGCGAAGTCCGCCATGCTCTTCAAAGAGGTCAAGGAATTTATCACTTTCGTGATTCTGGACTTCTCTGTGCTGAATTGGAGCACCACCGAATCTGTCATCCAAATCAACAGCTTTCATGGCAGCTGTGCCCTTTTCGTCTGTTGTTGACTCAGATCCTAACCAAAAGAAGATATCACGGATGATTCTCTTGCTTGTACCCTTGATGTAAGCGTGGAAATAAAGATAAGAGTCGCCTGTATAGAAAGCACCAATGTCTTGGACCTTTTCGAGCTTGAAATCAACAATACGCCAGCCGAGGAGACCTGTGAATTCTTCAGGAATTGCGGTGAATTCTGGATCCATTTATTAGGAAATGAAGTGAAATGGCCAAACGTTATCGAGTGGCAAAATTTTCAATCATATCAATTTAAAAAGTTATTGTATAGTAAATATTACTATTATTTATAACGATTAAGTTATTCGTTCTCAAATAATTTGAATTAAATAGTCAAAGTAAAATACTAAAATTTGAATAGAAAAATAATTGATACTTTAAAAATCATGATATCATTTTCAAGACGGATATTTGTGAATTATTCAATTTAATTTTGAAATAATCTGAATTTAAATCAATCGTTTTCCATCTGACGCTTAGATTTTCTAATTTTTTGGGAAATTTGTAACCGTAATGTAAATCTCAAATATAATTGATCGATTAAAATCCGATCATAATATACTAGAGGGAAATATTGTTTAATTCAACAGTTAAAAAGAATACTTGGTTTCAATTTCTTTTCGGGATTAGTTAAAATGACTTTTAATTGAATCTAAACTACACCAACGCTCGCAATATAGGCAAATATAGAGATATGCTGTATTACAATATTTAAATATTTCATGAAAAAGTGATCTCCTTTCACTCTGATCGTAATATTCACTCAACATCGGTTAAATTTAATATTCGTTGGATCCAACAGATAAAACTTGCTTCGAGCGTTATAAAATAAGTTGTTTTGGTATCTTTATTAAAAATACGAAAATATAGTCAGAAGATAACACAAATCAACAATATATTTATTTATACGTTAACACCAGAACCACTATCTTCATTATCTAAGTTCTTAGATGAGGAGGAGGAGGAAGAAGAAGATTCTTCTTTCTGTTCAGGCTCCTTTTGATTATTCTCCTTATTTTCAGGAGTTGTACTACTGCTATCCTTCTTTTCTTCTTCTTCGTCGGAGTCGAGGTTTTCAGTAGTTTCTTCGTCTGCGATTGCCTCTTTGATAACAATAAGACCAAAGATCAAGGCGAACAATGCATCAGCAGCGAAGAATAAGAAAGCACCAAATTCTCCAATGCCTTTCTGCATGGCTGGGTAAATGAAAATAACAACGAAGCAGCCAACCCATGATGTCATGGAGTTGATTGATGAATCCATTGGACGAAGTGGTGGTGGAAACATTTCCGGAGAAGTGTACCATGGCATTGGAGCCAAAGCCAAACCAAAACCAAATTGATAAATGAAAATAAGAATAATTGAGAGAACAGTATTCCAATTAAATTTCTGGTTCAAAGCATAGATTAAGAGGGAAACGAAGCATGTGCTGCAAGAGATTCCCCACATAATTCTTCTCTTAACTTTGCCATCAAGAGAACCACCAACAATGCAAGCGATAAGCTGAGCGGCCATTGTGATAGCTGCAGCAATACCAGATGGAATTGGTACGTTAGCTGTCTTGAATAATGTACTAAGGTTGGTAATCATAGCGTTTGCACCAGATAATTGCTGGGCCAACATGATGAGAATCATAATGATAACCTTCTTGATGTATTGTTTATCAAAGATTGATTCTTTGATATCATCTTCGGAGTCATCTTCCTGATCATTATCTTCCTTTTGAGGAGCTGTCTCTGGGACAAACCAAATTGTGGCAATTTGGACAGCAGATGTAACGATGGCAAGAATATGAAGAGCCCACGGGTGATAATATTCACCAATGCAGAATAAAATGATGATACCAAAACAATTGACATCTGATTCATTGAGCCGAAGAAGCCACCATACTCAGGTGGTGCGACTTCAACAAGATACAAAGGTCCAATAGCTGAGCAAGCGCCCAAAATGATACCTAACAGTGCGCAAATGAATATCCCAAAATAGTAAAGCTTCTTTGTTGTAATGGAGAATAAACAAGCCCATAGTATAATATTAGCAACATCCAAAATGACAGTAACAACTCGTCTTCCGAAGAACTTGAAAAGGAATGTAGTAAGATAAGGACCAAAGCATGCTAACAATGATGTAATGGCGTTAAAAATCGTTACTTCAAAGGACGTTAAATCTGGAAACTTCTCTTGGTAATAAGGTAATGCAGGAGATGTGTAACCAACAATGTAACCAAATGTGAATGGCGTCAATACACTAGGTAATGCGTACAGTAGATGCTTGCCGCAAATTCCCATAATAAAAATATAACTTTATTTTATATGACGAGGTTATTCAATTTTTGAATTAACTCACAATTTGAAATGAATTTAAGGGCTCATCAAATAAATAAACATTCAAAATAAGACCAAATAGCAAGTATATAAAATTCACATGGTATATATTTTAAGACAATGTTTAACCATGATTACCGATAAACCAAAATAAATTTTGATTGGCTAAACTTTTGAATAGGTGCTCAAATCAACAACCAAATTTAGTTCCATATTATTTTGCAGTTAATAACGAATAACAATTTCATTTGAACAAATAAAATGAACAAAATTGAATAGGGCACTTTCAGTTCAGAAAAAACTTTGAAATAGCATGGATTTCAGCATTATTATAATATAAGTGCACAACACTACTCTTTTGCATTAATATAAAATCCAAAATTTAACTTTTTGTCACTAAATTGTTGAAAAAAATTCGAAAGGCGTGCCATAAGGACAATAGAACATCGCATCTTCAATATTAGGGATAAATCTACACAAAATTAATTGGAAAACCTATTATTTTCACGATTAATCCAATGATATAACAAATTTAATATCCAATATTTGCTATATTATTAAAAACATAAAAATTATATAATAGAATATGTAAAATCGATACAAAACTAAAACTAGATTAAAATGAATTCTATTGAATAATATGGATTTTAAATGTTGAGATTCTAAATAATATTTCATGGTTATCAATCTTATTAATGAATTATCAGAATATTTCGTGATTAAATTAAAAAGTACATCAAAATTGTCGGATAAGTGACCAAACTATTAATTCTGAGATAAACGTTACAACGAATTAACCTTTCAATTTCGATCATTTCCTCTCAATTTTTTATGAAAAAAGCGAATAATTGATTGAAAATTCTGAATATAAAACGCCTTTCAATTTCGAACCATTTGAACTAACAAAGATTGATATTCACATTTCAAATATTAAAAATAAAGGCTATTATTATTTTTTTTTTGAAAAATTATGTAAACTTGAAATTCACTTAAAGATATGAGCTCTCAATTTTCGACCCCCAATATACGTTTATTTTAGTTTCGGCATATTAACATGAAGCAAGAGCCAAACCCTTAAAGACGTGTCCTCTAGTTTTGCCAACTCTTTCATATATTGTAACTATTTTCAGGAAAAAACGCAAATTCAAAATTAGAAATTCACATTTAATCGAGTATAGTATTAAATTACTATCTTTCGTACACGGACCAAGCAACAACTCAAGGTGCATGCTCATTACAGACAAAATCCCCTCTAGTGCACTTAAATTGGGTGAGTTAGCACCAAACAAGCCATAAGTTAAAGATCTGAACTTGCTCCAGACAATGTATCACTTTAGTTATGAATGCACCAGAAATACGTCCCAAACTCATACATTTCTACGCAAATCACGATAATAAATATACTATTTTGTACTTTTTACAATAAATCTCTCTTTGTTACACTACAAAATCAATGTGCATTTCGTTGCACCAGTTTTGAATCTTGTTAAATAATGATTTTTGTTACTTTCATGATACAGTCCCATTTAGTAAACGGATTATTTACAAAATAAAAATAAAAATATATTTTTTATTTACGATTTTTTATATTTGGATTTTTAAGGCATAATTTAGAAAATATTAATAATTTAATCGATTTGATATTAAGTATGGAATTCCAAACGGGAACCGCGGTTGGTTACCATGGATTTCCGTCACCGGTCACATTTTAAAGATTTTTTAAGCCTTATAAAAATATGCTTTGTAAATCATTTTTTGTAAATCGGCAAAAATTTGGTAATTTTCTTCAACTAATAAATCTGCGAATAGCATTTATAATACAAGAACAATCTTTTAAAATGCGTTTGATTCATTTTTGTATAATTTCATATAGGCACATATATTCTTCCGGGACTTTCCGTGATTTTACCGTAAAATCATTAGTTTACACCAATTTTCCCGTATTTTGAATAGTTTACTGCACTTTTCCCGTAAAATTGAGTTACGGGAATCCGCAAAATTTCCGGACCTCATTTTTCATAGAATATAATAATAATATTTGATAAAAAGATATATTATTTATATTTTTGATTTTTGAATTACGGAAAAAGTGAATTGATAACTTGATTTTTTTATATGGTTAATTTTTCAAATGATATTATGAAGATCTAAAATATTAAAAGTAAAAAATTGAATTACGGAAAAAGTGAGGTCAAAAGTGAAATAAATTTGCAGAACAATTTTCATTGAAATAAGCTTTATTTTTCATTATTAATAACAATGCAAAAAAAATATTTATCACAGGTTCAAAATTTAAAATTAAATATTTTAATAATTTACATCTTATTCTTTATTTTATATTTAACCCGTGAAAATATCATTTAAAAATTGAATATATTCAAAAAGCTTTATTTTTATTATGACTGCATGGGATCCTCATGTATATGATGAGTGGATTCCATTTAAGAAGACGAAATATCCACCAACTCCTGAAACATTGGAAACAAAGTGTGGAAAAAATGTTTCACTACGATCGGCTATTATGAGAATGAGCCTAATCAATCAGACAAAGGAAGGCTCTTTACATACTGTGCCGAATGTAGTGAAACATTAGTTCAAGGGCAGTTCGTGCGATGCATTAAAAAAAGCAGGAAAAATGATTTTAAAGATCATAAGTGCAAATTTTTACTCCCAATGCCCAACTACGTTCCTGCTGAGCACCAAGTTGAGAATACTCAGCAAGCAGTTGGCTCTGGTAATGATCCTTCGTTAGAAGAGATCATTGCCAGGCTTATTGCGAGCCTAGATATAAGCCTTTATGCCACAATGAAGCCAGCATTTAAAAGCTTCCTAGAGAGCTTCGCCAAATGGCTTAAAAATAAAGTCAATCGCGAACAGGGCATCAACTTTACAATCCCAGACATTGAGTTCACACGGCGCGGTGTCAGAGAGGCATTGATTACTTTAGGCAAAACAGACTCCTCTCGGGGCCTAAAGTTCTGCGAGGAATTCCGCATCTTCTCAATTTCCCTGGACTGCGGAACACACGGCAGCCGTCATGGTCTATTCTCTTGTGTGTGCAATCCAGGCAAAACAGATCGCCACCAATTCTTCGACACAACAATTTCGACTAATTGGACATACGAGGACTACCATACGTGGTTTGATTCTCTTAAGGTTAATAAAAACCACGTAGCTGGAGTAGTCGGAGATGGTTTGCCAGCCCAGGTTAAAGGACTCTGCCACTGGAGGCCAGAAGGAGCCCTTTTCCCTGGCTTACAAACCGTGTACATTCGTTGCCTTAACCACGTCTTGAACAATGCTATTGTCCACGCACGTAAGCAATGTCCATTGTTGAATGAACTGATGAATAGAGTTCAACAGATTATCATTATCTTTAAGAATCACGATATGAGAGCGAGATACAAGATCAGGGTTCCATCAATCCCGGAAACTCGCTGGCTATACATATATGATACTCTGTTTTTCATCTTTGATAATCTGGAAACAATTAATACTGCTTTAAGAAGTGGAGATCTTCCACTATCCCTTTCCAGAGCTACACGTGAACAGTTACAATGGACACGTGATGGAATTCCTCCACTCTTTAAAGATGCTTTAATGATATTCAAGCCATTAAAGCAACTTCAATTATGGCTGAAATCCAACAAGTCCATGGGTGCTTATGCATTCCTGATGATACAACAGTGCCAAGGGATGTTGGATGACATGGCAGGAAGATTAACGCCAGATGGTGAAGAGATTCTCCGATCAATCACTACAATATTCAAAAATGATATGAAAGAATATGGTAGAATTGATTTGCTTCGGTTTGCTTTCGGCTTTACACCGTTAGCAAGGAAGATCATCAGAGACAAGAAGGGTTTTGGAGGAAAGACAAGCTATCCACCTATAATGCAGTTGAAAGATGTGCAAGTCCCAACGATTCCTTCCCTGAGGATCATCAATCGCGAGATCACATTTGAGAAACTCGGCGAAAATTAATACACCTATCAAGTGTACGGAGGCACTGCGCACCTACTTACCCATTATATGTGAATTTGACACTTTACGAAACCGCTAACGTATATTTTACAACACAAACGACAACACTAACTTAACCTTAAATATTTACAAAGCCGCCAACCACTTCACCTCACTAACGAACTCACTAATGAAAAAATAAACGTTCTCATAAATTTTCTTCTATATCTTCATCGTCAATGTTAACTCTATTGTAGTCATACTTGAAGTCATAAAGTTTCTCAAGTTTTGAAATGCATAGTCTTGTTAACTTACCTTCATCATAAGTTTTTATAAAACTACCATGACAATCTTTATACACAGTCAATGTATAGTCAACTGGTCTAGGATGAAGTGTAAAGAACATGTTATACTCAGGAAGGAAGAATAAATGTTTAAATGTATGTTTGTTATATTTTTCGATTTGTATGAGTTGCTTTTGTTCTGTCATTTATAAAAATAAAATAAAAAATAAAATAAAAAATAAACTTAAAAATTAATGATATCACCACCCTCACACGTATGAAAACATAGCACAAAAATAAATTTAGGTGAAGTGGTGAGATCTCACCTCTTTTTTCACCCTGTTGAATTCATTGCTTTATAACTCTCTTCCTTTCTCCAACTCTTCTAACTTCTTCTTAAGTTCAGCAATGTTGTCCTCATGAAGTTTAATCTTTCTCAAAATTCCTTCTTTATCTAATGGTTGCTTTATCTTTCTAAACTGAACTCTACCATCCTTCATAGTATGAATGTAAAAACCTTCTGGAATAGTTGATTTAATGTATTCTACAAAAACTTTTGTTTCATTGCTTCAGTGACTTTATCGTCATTTCAATCAAATAAAAATTTTAATATTAAATAAAAATAACGTTATTTTTTCAGTAAGGAAACGCAGGAGTTTTACGATTTATTTGAGGAGTAGGTTCTGGTTTAAATGTTGGAGTCGGTTTAGGAGTTGACTTTTGAACAGGAGTTTGTACTTCCATAGGTTCAGGAGTCATTGAAGGTTTTGCTTGTGAAGGCGTTGGTTTTGGCGAAGGTGTTGGAGTTTGTTTAACTTCAGCTACTTCAGTATTATTTACAACATTTGCTTTATTTCTTTTCAACATCATAACTGCTCCTGCTGTAGCTAGCAAACCTAGTGGGAGACCATATCTTATATAAGGACTTGACCAAATGCTATTTTTGACAGGAGCTGGTGGAACACCTAACCTTGGTGAGACTGCTCTTTGCCATTGTGCAGCTCGTAAGAAATATTCAATAGGTGCTCCATAATCGTTTGGTAAAGTTTGTTTCATAGATGGTGAAGGTTCACGAGAGCTTGATGAAGAACTCATTTATAAGCTTTAAAAATAAACGTTCATCCTTTATTCCTCACTGTCGTCCGTAGCTAAGTTATAGTCATCTAATCTTATTATGGGGATGCCATTAGCACGCACCTGAATGGCAAAGCAACAATCCCTCATAAATCCAATAAGTGGCTTTGGTACATTTTCAGTTGCTAGTTCAATAGGTCCTTTAACAGACAATTTGTATGTTATTGGAGCAGTAGATGTTTGACCTTGCTGGAAGCAAAAGTCCACTTCTGTTGGAAAACCACATAAGAAATGTGTGTTGTCATAGCTATCCCATTTATGTTCCACACTACCATCATCCACCAATGACCTCATAACATCTTCATTAAATCCTATCATATCATTGTTTGTATTGCAGCGTTCGCAACCATTTCATAAAATACAGGTCCATATGATTTTTCAGGTTCTGCAGGCATATTTCCATAAGCTCCCATGGAAAGCTGAAGATATTTAAACTTAGGGTTCTCAAAATTAACATAATAGTTGTCTTTCTTTCTAAATAGTGCCCAAATACTTTTAACATTAATAGGCGTATAAGCTGCTGTAAATGTTGCACTTGAACTATCTGTATTCTTTGAGAATGAACCGTCCATAGGAATCCAATCCATAACTTTAACAGGAAAACATAAAGCCTCGTTTGTATAATGTTCTACAAGTTCTGTATAAATGTTAGGGTCTAAAGAGAATGACTTTGGATGAATGAAACATTCATTAAAATCCATCTTTGTTCGAAATAGTTGCTGGGTTACAGTTGTAATAGTAACTGTTCCACTAGCTTCTACTGCTTCGTTATCATAGTGAATGGTTCATTCCATGGAACAAATTTATTTGTCGGTGGATTTGAATCTGAAGCAAATGCAACTTTAAGAGTTGGATTGAAAGCAATGATATCATTTACAGATATAGATGTGCATTGTAAGGCGTCGCTACTGAACTTTACTTTAAGCTGAATGTTTCCTGCAAAAGCTGGAATAAATCGAATAGCTTCTAATGGAAGGAATCTTCTAACAGGAATTCTTAAACGAAGCTTAAAATCAAATGATTTTCCTGCTGTAATTGGACCACTAACAATTTGTCCTGTTCTGCATGTTCCCGAATGACTCCATACATCTTCATGTCGAGTCTTTGAGAAAACATCTACTTTCTTTATTTGTTCGGTAGTTTGTGAGTTTGAAGTTATATATGCTTCTTCTCTTGCGTTGTCTTGAGAATATACGATACGACCATTTGCAAGGATTTGATATCCAGCAACTGCATAGAAAGCGTCATCGAAACCAATCCAAAATCCTGGTGGGTTTGTTTTATTGGAACCTGAACCAATTTCTTTATCTACAATAAATTGACCTTCCATTTTATACGTAATGAATGTATTGTAAAGGTCCAACATATTTTCACCAGGAGGTGAGAGATTGAATGTTACCCATGTGTTATCTTTAGCAGTTCCAGGTTGTGATGGAATCTTTGCGTCAGAATATTTTCTATTAGTGTCACCAATTTGAACTGCATTGTCTATGATATCGAAATATGAGCGAATCTGATGAATATGCTCTGCTGGAGTAAATTCGTTTAGCTGTTCGTTCTGCATGTATTTACTTCAGATAAAAATATCTATTTACTTCATTATTCTCACTCTTCTTCTTGGCATTCGTGGTGGAAGTTGTTTCTTGACATTTTCAATGAACTGTACATTCTCTTTTGTCTCAACTTCTTTCACTGGTGGGTCAGGGTTCTTTGACTCGGTTTGTTTTTCAATGAAATTCACGAACTTTGCAATAAGCTCTTGGTTCGTTATTGAAAGTACATCTGGCTTCTTTTCTTCTTGTTCTATTGACTTTTCAGTTTGAACAGAAGGTTTTATATGGGCTTCGTGGACTTCACCCTTGCCATACACCTTAATGTTGTCGCTTTCTGCATTCGCTAATGGAACCTTTCTTTTTCTTACGTATATTTTACCATCTTTACTCTGACTTACGTAATAGAAAGGATGTTGTATTCCTCTTGCGTCATTTAATATAATAGACTCTCGCTCTGATTTTGACAAGCTCATTTTACATCGGTTAAAGTTTTAATTTTGTTTTTTATCTGCAGTCAAATGACTCAGACAAGCCCTACGGACAAGACCCAAGGGGTCATAGATGTTGAAGCATTGAAGAAAGAAATTCGTGAGCAAATTTTATCCGAACTGAAGGAACAAAAACAAGAACAAAAGCCAGAGAGACCAAAGAGAAAACTTAGTGAAAAACAACTTGCTGCATTAGCTGCTGGAAGACAAAAGAACCCACGTTTGCTGGCGAAGAAAGCTAGAGAAGAAGCTGAAGCAAAAGCTAAAGAAGAAGCAAAAGCAAAGAAAGAGTAAATGGTTTATTTTTATCCGAATTAAATGTATAGACAAATACCTTTATCTGTTGCGTTCAGTAGTGAAAACCCTGACGTCAAAATAAAGGGGAACAGAGTAACGTTTAAGTTTCCAACAGACTGGATTGTGAACATAAATGAAGAGAAGTACATTGGCATAACAAATATGTATATAACACGTGCTTTCAGAAAGGTTGACTTTATACTTCAAGTCGAGATAGAAAATGACGAACAGTCTTTAAGCGCCCAAAACATTCACATATACAAATACTTTAAAGACGATACAACATTGTTGCAATGTATGATTTCATTTAATGAGATGTTCGAGAAAAAGTTCAACATTGAAGTACAAACTTTACAGCCTTTACGTGAGTTTCTTGCACAACTGAAAGAAGAAGGTAGTCAGCCACAACTTATAGACTTTCATTATGAATTTAATGAAAATGAAGATGGAACTCATGACTGTCAATTCATTGTATTCTCACCATTCAATGAAGTCGCTAAAGAGAAAGAAAATCCATTACGTATAAGATTTCAAATCTCTGAACCACGTGATGATTTCAAGAATGTTTTCCACTCATGACCGAGGAAAAATGAATTTTCCGAAATTAGATTTCCAGGTATTTGGGATAGAAAGCAAGCTATATTATATTCAAACTTAAGTAAGGGAGTTGAAAATGAGTTCATTGGTCATACAAGAACTTCACCACTTCCTAACCCTAAATACTATAAATTAACTGGCTTCAATCGTGAGTTTTGGATAGACATGTTCTCCACTCATGACCATAACTGCCCAGTGTTCTTACCTCCAGACCATAAGGACTGTCTCTACATTGAAGCACAACTCTTAAACTCTACCATCGCAGTATTGTAAATGACCACATGGGCTTCGCCCTTGCCGCTAGCGGCTTATTTTTATCACGAATGACCTCATTGCTGACAAAAATAAATGACCTCAGAACTTCAACTTACGAATAAAGCTTGTTTTAGTCGTTATTGAGAAGTTAAACTTTTCAGCAAAGCAAGGACTAGAAGACTTACATAAGTCAAATCCAATCCCTTGACCGTCATAAAGTGCTTTGTAAAGTTTCATTAAACTGAACTCAGAGTCTTTGTCATATGTTCCAACAGGTATGTGAATGTTCTTATCTTCATTGTAATAGCATTGTATAGCTTCAGGAAACATTTCATTAGCTGTTAAAGCAAGAACGTCTTGTTTTACACCTTTACAACGTGCATGAAATGCAACTTCATTTAAATCATTCGTGAGTAAGTCTATGTAAGTCTTCTTTCCACAAAATATTGACTCGTATGCTAAACTTTGTTTTCCAGGTGTTATTTCTGCGAAGTCAGAATGGAACTGACCAAGGTTCTTTCCTATAAGTTCGCGACCGTATCTCTTCTTAAACTCTGCTGCAAGCTTTGGTATGTCTTCATTGAAAATATGCATGCTATCGCAGTCCTGGTAAAATATTTGAAGACCCATATCTTCAGCAGTACAGAATACTTCGTTCATAATACGTTTTGACATAGACAGAATGTTAACACCAAGTGGACAGAAGTTAAAGTGTCTGCAAATGCTTTTCGTTAGCTTGAAAATAGTTTTATCTGAACCATCCAAACCTTCGAACTTCACTATATGGTTGTAGTTTCTGATGGCATATCTTATAGCATCTTTGTCATTTACTATGGTTATTTTTGACTCAATAGGAGATAGAATAGTTTTGCCATAAATACTGTTCAGAATGAGCTTTATATTTTCTTGCAAAGGATTTCCTTCTTTCTTATACTTTAACCTTAACTCAAACAACTTCTTTACTTCATCTCTTATTCTAATATCTCTGTTTCCATCGTAATAATATCCTTGCAACACTTCACATTTGACACCTTGATATTTTATGAGGTCTTGTAATGTTATATGGTCAACATACATTAAACAGCAAGTGTTTGAACTTCTGGAACGTTAAGTTCTGGATTTAGTTCAGGGTCACAAACTATTAAAGGAAAGTGTCTATGTATTCCAATCTCTGTTATCTTAATGAGAACAAAGAAGCCAGACATAAACTTTTCACCAATGGGTTCCTTTTGGTCGTCATCGAATAAATGTCTCATGAGATACTCTGTGCTTAACATTTCTTTCTTCAATACTTTGGAATACCTTCTAAAGTATAAAGTCTTGCTATAGCGATGGATATAATGAAACAGCGTCGAAATCAGCAATGAGTTTCTCTTTCTCTTTTGTTTCATGTTATCTGACAGCATACATCTTCCACCTTGAATACAGCGTGAAATAAATTCTCTTGGTTTATTTGAGAGGTCATATAAATTTCCATTCGGGAAGTACACTCTGTTCTCAAATAATTTGTTAGCAATTGAACAAATACTAACGTAGTCATAAACGTTTAAATCAAATTCTTTCAATATGTCATTGCGGAACTTAACAAAACCTTCTCTTAAAATTCTTACATCTTGTTTGCAATAAAATGTGCTATACTTTTCTAAGTCGAAGTGGTTCTCATCTATTCTGCAACCTTTGATGGAATCTATGTTTTTCATGAATGTATCTGCATCCCGGATAAACTTACATGCTTCAGAAATGACACCAGTTCTGTTGTCATTTGCTAACAAAACTGCTGTAGTAGTTATATGGAAATACTTCTTTCGGTCCTGTTTGTAAGTTAAACATAGCAGGAAATAGTTTAAGCTTCTTATTTATAACACTGTAAGAGTCTTTTATAATAATTGCCCTTCCTTTATATAAGCCAGTTATTTGCATTGTTCGTGAACCTTTAATGATGGGAGTTCCTTTCACTTCTGTCATGTGTCTTAAGATGAAGTTTATATCATAACTGAGGTTATGGAAATATATTAAACTCTTGTCAGGAAGTCGTTCCAAAAATTCTGTTGCACAGTTCTGACCCCAAATGCTTTCACTCACTGAACCATCTTCACTGTCGTAACATATGTTAAAAGCTTTATGAAAGCCATCGTACTGCACTCAAAGTCAGCAAAGAAAACGTGCTCAGGAATGAACTTGCACTTATTTTTATTTACTTCTTTTGACTCGGCTTTCTTCTTCAGTTGTACACAATACTTTGGAGCATATGTCAAATCTTTAAATGGTGCAAGGTTCTGTTTATATAAGTCAGTCGTATATGTGAAAAGTTCTCCATAAGAAATAGGTTCGAAATATTTGCACTCCCACAATGTTTTCATAACATCCCATAACGGTGTTGTTCTATCATAACGAACTACATATTTATCTTCTCTCTTTGTATAAATCTTCATTTGTTTCTCAATGTTCATTCCACCACAAGCTTTGAGAATTTCTTTGTAATTTCTGACGAAATATGTTGTCATTGGTAATCTTTCATTTAGCATGTAGTGGTCTTCAACAAGAAGTAAGTCAATAGTTCTAACAGTTTCACATTCTTTTGGTATGTATCTCTTTATTTCATTATGTCTTGAGTCATTGAAATAACCAATGGTAACATTAAATGCTATACCTGTTGCGTCAGAAATTTCTTGTACTTTACTTTGAGGAAAGTCTCTAACACGAATGACTTCTCTCATGTGGTCAATAGTCTCTCATCTACTCAGCCTGAATGCAAGCATAAACGAAACAATTGTCTTCTGTCATAAGTGCTGCAGTTCTTTTGTTCAATTCATTGAAGATTTGGTAGCGTTCAAGATTTATAGGTAATGTGCAAAGATACTTCCAGAACTGACCGCTTCTCTTCTTATAAAACTTCTTTTCACCATTATCTTTCCAAAAGCTTTCTATAAGTGCTGGGTTTCCTGTTTGCTTAAGAGCTTCCAAAATGGCTTTCTGGTCATTTGTCAGTGTGCTTTCATCTCTATATGGTCTCTTTTTTGGTTTGCCTTTCTTTACATCTGACATCGTTAAGCCTTCATATTCTGTTAAATCATACATCTTTATTTCGGTAAGATTCTTTATGTTTGTCAAGAAGAAGTCATAGTGCATTTCAACAATACCTGCAGCATTTGCTTCTATCTCTGATATAAAGTTCTCCTTCAAGAGCTGATGTAGTAATGTTCCAATATTATTGAGGTTTAACGTAGAACATTCATACTTTCCACCAAGTTTATAACATACCATCCATCTCTGTTGTGAGTTTATTTTAATTTTCTCTAAGAGTCTCATGAAAACCTTACCGAAATGTTTGTGTAAGTAGTCTCTGTTTGGTTCATCTAAAGCTTCGATGTTAAAGTCAATGAGTCTATTGCCTGACTTCACATTTCTCTTCCTATTCTCTTCATCTTTCTTTAACCATCTCTCACCTTCTTTTGGTTTGTCGTCAATGGAACGAATGACATCGTTAGCTTTGCGAACTTGTTCTATAGCGCTCTTAAACATCTCTCTTCTCTGTTGTTTCAGTGTGTCGTCTCTTCTTCTTGTTTCACCAACGTTTGCATTTGTTATGTCAAACATTTCTCTTCTTACTTCATGAGGTACTGAACGTCTATGATATAAGTCAATAGCAACGTCATTTAAAGGAAATGCTCTTGCATGGACTTCGTCCTCGCCGCGTTGCGGCTTTATGAACTCATGAATTCTATCATAACTTATTGCACCATTATAGTCATTGAGGATGTCAGCGAGTGCTTTTTTGTTTGTTGCGTAATGTTTTGCTACTTCTATGTTAGCTTCTGTAGAAGTTGTTTTATTTCCGAGTGTTCTAACTTAGACAACTTCCGATACATCTTTAGTAGGAAATAAAAAAATATTTTTTGAAAAAATTAGATTAGATTTTTTTAAGTTATTTTTCAAAATAATTTAATATTTTTATTTTAATGAAACACATGCAAGATTGCAAGTTCTTTTCATACAATGCCCTCGCTACTGCCATCAAGAATGAGTTCAATGATGCTGCAAACGTTAATGTTATCTTTAACAAGAAGTTTGTGAAAGAATCTAAGTTTGGTCAGTATGTCAGACCATTAGCTATCGTCATTGACCGCAAACGTTATACTTCACAAGAGTTAGCAGTAGTTTTGAAACAAAAGAGTTTCTTCGTGAATGTCAAAGATACTCATTATACTGTCATAAAGAACTCTAATATTGACTTCTTCAGTATTGCTTTAAATCTTTCCGAACAGAAAGAATATAAGAAGGGTGAAACAAATGTGAAATATTATCCTTCATCTCTGAAGACAATAACGAACAAAGATGTTATACAGAAATTCTTACCAAAGGTTGAAGAAGCTTCTATTGACATTGACGAAGGAAGTGAAATGGTTGAAGAAATAGACCCTGAAGCCATTTAAGCAAAAATATATTTTTGAATAACTGATGGTGTCACCACGTCACCATGTGTCACCAGGTTAATTAACTTCTTTTAAAAATGATGACAACATGACATTTTGACAACAGGTACGAAAGAGCGAACAGCATGATGCTTCGTTAATGTTATCGTTAATGCTTACAGTATCGAACATAATTGACGTAGGATTCATGACTTCTTCGTAAATGAGTGTAAATATAGCACAAAAATATATTTTAGGTGAAGAGGTGAGATCTCACCCGTTTTTTCACCTCTTTTTTCACCTCATTCTCTCTTCGTTAATGTTGTCGTGACTTCTTCGTTAATGTTGTCGTGACTTCATTCTTCCTCTTTGAAGTTATCGAAATATTCTGTTATTTTTTCCTTCAGTAATGTTAAGTCTTCTTTGAATGTAAGTATTGTGCAACCTTTGATGTCATAGTGTGTTTGAGGAAGAGTATTTTTGACAATTTCCTTTATTTGCTCATTCGGTGTCATTGAAATCGGTAAGTTTTCACGATAGAACCAGTTTCTGTCAGATTTATATATTTTAGCTAAGTCATAAAAGCTCTTGTTGTTTCTTCTGACTAAATGCAACATAACCATATCTTTATCTTCTTCTTTCTCCAACTCTTCAGTATATATCATATACCTATAACTCTTTTCCTTTCCTTTTGGTACTGAACGCGGTATTCTTTTCTGTATGCTTTTGTCTTTGGATTCAATGACTTCATCTTTTGCATGAAGTTTCTTTTCCATCTCTCCACGTTCTGCTTTATATAGTTCATCTAACATCATGAAAATATAACAAGCATAACGAGGTGAAGCCCACATTGCTACAGCATTTACTAAAAGTCTATGAACATAATAACCTTTCAAACCAGGAGCCAAATTCTTGCGATTTTCGTACGGAATCTCTTCTCTCGGTTTTCCGAGGGAAGCAATCATATGAGGAAATTCTTCTAAAAGTTCTTTTGTCTGTTGGTTTTCAAACCAATGATATGCTTGCTTTGTAGAACGAAGAGCATTCATTATACTTTGCATTTGGTACATGTCATCTTTGACTGAACGAATGAGACGTAACTGTTTGTTATACTGTATGTACTCGTATTCTTCATTTATAGCTTCATGGACTATAACTGTTGTTGTGTTCTCTGATGTTGTCATTACTGTCTTTACATACAAAATAAAAAAATAAATAAAAAAAAAACTAACTTTATTTTCTGACTTTCACAAAAGACCAAAAATAAACGCTTTACATGTATTTTTCAGCAACTTCGTCAAATAATTTTATAGCTTTATCTATCTCATCTACTTCAAACGTTTTTTACCTTTCGTGGGAGCACCATACATTTTCTCAAAAACTTCAAGCAGTTCTGTTTCAGCAGCTCTCATATCATTAACAAACACAACCTTGACTCTATTGACTGTACTGTCATATCTTTGAGTTATATTATATGTCCTTCCTATCTTATATCTTTTTGTGTTGAAGTCCTTCGGTTTCTGAACGATGTAAAGTAAGCCTTCACTGCAACGTTCCGTATCGAATGAACCATATGTTATGAAGTTATATCCAACAACTGGGTCTAACCATAACAAAACTATTGGTATAAGACTTTTGTCTATAAGATATGCTCTTGTTCCATGAAATGCTACTGATATCATAAGCTCAGGATTTCTTGTTAAAATTTTCTGAGTTGAAGCATTTCTAACCCAGTCGTTTGTTTTCTTTCCAGATGGAGATATAATGTCTGACAAAGAATATTTGTTGTATTTCTTTGAGTATCTTACGTTTAAATCACCTATTCTAACCACTTTGGTGTCATTGTCTATCTTTCTAACTGTTTCAAACTCAATGTTTGTCATTACTGTCTTTACATACAAAATAACTAATGAAATTCATTATTTTTGTTGCTGAATTCAATAAAAATATAATTGAGGTGAAGAGGTGAGATCTCACCTGTTTTCTCACCTGTTTTCTCACCTCTTTTTTCACAAGCGTTTTACATGAATTGTACGATGTATATTTGAAATCCTAAACAATTTCGTAGCTTCTATTTCTTCTTTTAGTACATCGAATGTTTTAATCATGCCGAAAGTCTCTTTATATTTCTTCTTGACGTCAGACAGAAGGAAATCTTCTGCTGTTGGATAGTTTTATTAAGAAATGTCAACATATCCATTTTATCTTCTGCTGGCTTTTCTGCTTCTTTCTTTAAGTCTGCATAGTCGTTTCGCATTCTTTCTATCTTTTTGACTGAGTAGTTATATTTTCTTATTGCTGCTTTACATTTTGAACATTGCGGCATCGTTTTTGCGTTATACATTGAAATAAAACCAGCTAGAAACAACTAAGGCGTCAATGGTTTTCTTTAACTCAAAAGCTGCTGGTTTTATCTGTTCATTCCATACTTTACCTCTTCTATCTTTATCTCTTATCTGCCATACACATTTTGCAACTAATGAAACAAAGTTATCGTATGTCTTAAATTCTTCGGATTTGTAAAGGTCAGAAATATTTTTATAAACCATGTCGCAATCTTTGTCCATAACTTTATGGTTGCAATGAAAACCAAGAAATTCATAATTTACTTTACGTATGAATTTCTTAATTTCTACTGAGTCAGTTGCTTTGACTTCAATTTCGTCGAATTCAGGAATAGTTAGTTTTTGCTGCTGAATTTCAGGTAGTTTAGGCAAATGGTCGATGAGGTCCTCCATTTCATAAAGATACTGTTCATTTGTTTCATCTTTCGCACTACAGTCTAAATTACTTGTTAAAAGTTCTTGCTTTATCTTCTGGATTTCTGTTTCAAAAGTATATGAAGAAGGAATAAAGCTTTTCATCTCTACCAACATTGACGTAGGATTCATGACTAGCGAGTTTGGTGCTGTAGTTGTTTGAATTGTTGTTGTGCCGATTGTTGAAATCATATTTTTATACAAAATAAAAAATAAATAAAAATAAAACTAACCTTATTTTTTCTATCTTAAGGAAATTCATGAAAATTCACGAGAAAGCTAAAGCAATCTGAGCCGCTAAGCGGCGAGGGTGAAAAAAGAGGTGAAAAAACGGGTGAGATCTCACCTCTTCACCTAAAATATATTTTTGGTGTAAATTTATGACAAAAATAAATGGTACATTAATGATATCATGACTGTTCTCATTCATGTCTGATTTACATCTAATGAAAAGTTTAGAAGAATTTTCTTATTCTTTCTGGCTTATTTTTGTCTTTCCAGTACTCCCGCTCTAATGGTCCCAGATGTGTTGGCTTTGACTCTCTCAAGTTCTTAGATGGTATAACATCTTCACGCCTCCTTCATATTCTTACTTTATAAGTGTCATCGTTTATGTTATAGCCAAGTATTTCAATAACCACTCCTCGCTTTGCTTCGTCAATGGTTTCAGAAAGTTTGCCATTACTACTTTCGACTAATTTGTGACGAGGGTAAAACGCAATAGAGTCGTCGGCAGCTTTTATAAGATATCCATTACCTTGTGTAGAGTCTACGATATAATAGTTTCTACTTAACCTTAAACGTTTCTTTGTCAACGGTTTGTCGTCAAGAACTACACGAACTTTTGTTCCAGGAATGAGGGTAAATTGTGTTGAATTTCTGATATTTTGTGTTTGGCTTCGTTTCTTTTGTATATACTTTTCTTCTTGTTGTTGTGTCATTGAATTTGGTGTATGTCCTGTTGTAGAATGTGTTGAGGAATTATATATTTCGAGAAAATGTTTCATTGTTTCTTCGGTAAAGTCTCGCTCTTGGTTTAAATCTCTGAGCGTTCTTATGAAGCGGTTTATGATGCCGAGTATGTTATGGTTATGGTCTTCAGTAGTGTAGTGAGTTATGTTATGCTTAATGAGAAAATCTGTGATTTCATTGCTGAGGTATGCACTGTCTTGGTCTGATGTTAAAGTACTTGGGCTATGTTCTGCTACAAACTTTTGTAAAACTCTTAACACTTCACGAGTTCCTTTATTTTTCATTGGATATGCATATGCTTTACGAGTGTTAACATTAATGAAGATGAGGAATGGTTTATGTCCTCCTTTTCTGCTTTGAATGAGAGTGTCAAATTGGTATGCGTCAGGAGTGTTGGAGTAAATTAGTAAAAAGTAGTCGTAAGGGTTTATTTTTGTTTGGTGTACAACATTTTTGTCAAAGAACCTTTTCACTTCAGCTCTGTTAGTAAATCCCCAACTCTTTGCAGCTTCATTGAACTTCTTAAATGACCTCCATGGATGTTGTTCGAATACTTCTTTCAAGCTCATTTATGTAAAGTTAAAGATTTTATTCTAGGCTCAAGCGCGTTCATTGAACGCGGTACCATGCGAATACAGTCATAAATGGTGGCATATAATCTGCACCCGAGCCTGTTGGATTTGTTGTGAAAGTATGGACATGATTTCCTCCTGGTTCAGTTTGTCGAAAAATCTTTTTTGCTGAATTGTTATAAGATGGAGATAAAACATCATGACCGGCTTCATAGTCTGAGTTGTATAATGGGTGGTCTCTTAATGAGTGTCTATGGTCGCCAGAAAAGTTTGTAGTTCCTGTATGAGTGTGTGGTGGAAGGTTTGCTTCTTTAATTTTCTTCGAACCTCCTGTTTGCTTTGAAGAGTTAGCACAGTATAAGAATTTATCTACAATCTGCTTCCACGTACCAAAACCTAAAACACTTGCTGGATTTGTTGAGTTCATTGACGTATAAATAGAGCCTATAGGATATAATGTTTGAAGTATTTCAGTCTTTAATGTTTGAAGCTCTGTTTTGTCTGCTTTCTTATCATATAAATTTTGAACAGAAAATTTAACATTATTTTCATCATCCATGACATAAACATTTTTACAGCTAATTTCTTTCTTCGTTGTTATGTTTTCATTCGATGTTAAACCTTGTGGAAAGTTAGGAGGTTTATAATATAATACATCCCCACCAGTTCCGCCAACCGTTCCTTCAATACTTTCTATAGCAACAGTTGAGAAGGAGTTATGTGTATGTTCTTTATCTGCTTTCTTATCTAACATTGCTGGTAGTTTATATGTTTCAAAGTTTCTGGCATGACCTTCAATGTTCATACATTTACTATTTAAGGAGTTTAGTGTATCTTTTACGCTTGTACTTGGATTCTCTAAAGGTGCACTTGAACCAAGGGTATAGTTCAATATTATGTCGTCTGCTCTAACAGTAGTGAAGGATTCATGTGTATGGTTCTTGTCAGCTTTACTATTTAATGTAGCTTGAAGTTCATTTATATCGGAGATATTGTGTTTATGAGATTTCAAAACTTTGTTCATTGCTTCAAGTTCATCTTTGTCAGCTTTACTTTTAATAGCATCTTCAAAAGTTATTTTTGCCTTAACTCTCAAAGTAAATCTTGGTTCAACTAATACGCCGTTAACAGAGAAACTAGAAGCATAAATTTCATCGTTATAACCAAATGCTTCTGGTGCTTTACCTGTGTCATACTGTACAGTACAGCTTATGTCATAACCTTTAGCACGAATGTATTTATATCTTCTTTCATTAACATCCTCAGTGCTTATTTGTTCATCCTGTGTTAAATATCCATGGTAGTCCGTTATAATCTGTTCATCTGAAGTTATATAATGAACGTGGTTCTTGACTTTATCACTCAGAGCTAAAAGCTCATTTTTGTCTGCTTTTTCGGCTAATTTCTCATTAACATCATTTATTTCTAATTCAACTCTTCCGCCAGAACTCTTATTATCATTAATCTTTTTCATTAATTCGGTAATTACGTCATAAAGACTATATTCTGTTTTCGGTTTTGTAAATAATGAGTCAAAATTTCTTTTCATCATTACATCGCTGACATTAATGATATCACCAATTCCTTTTTCATTTATTCTCTTCATTAATTCTGCAATAATGACGAATATATAATCTGTTAATTTATTCTCTTCATCGAGGGTTATAGAATGTTTTGAAATTGAATCATTAACTCCTCTAAATAAATCAATAACTTCAGGATACACGTTTTTAATGTCTCGAATAACCCGACCAGTATCCTGTTGTTCATGTTCTTCGTTCCCGTCGTTACGTGGTTTTATATCTCTAACCATCATCAACGCAGCCATAACCGGAGGGTTTGTTGCTATCTGTTCGAAAATCCGTCCGTTATGTACGGTATATCTAAATAATTTCTTTGTGTTTGTTAAAACATTTGAAACAAGTCTTTTAAAACCATCTACAAAATTTCCTGTTTCACCTAATGTTCTTGCAGCATTTACAAGCTCACCCATTCCCGCTTTTGACCCCAAAAACGTCCATATTGCATTTATTTCACTTTGTATAGTTGTCCATTCAGCGAAACTAACACCCGCATTCGCTAAGCTGAAAATGAAATTCAGTGGATCGAACTTAATTCCACCTTCTTTTTCAATTTCAACGAACTCACTAACATGAGATTTTAAGTATTCTTTCGTTAAAATTGTTTTCCCCGATGTTATGTCATTAACGAAACTATCGCCGTCAAAAGTTAACGAATTCAATTTCGTCGTTGATGCTTTTATTTCATACACCGCTTTATCAATAGTTTTTGGCTCACCTTCTTTAGAAGCATATGAAACATTAATGAATGAATTATATGTATTCGTGAATGAATTAAAATCAATGATTTTCATTAATGACGCCTTTAATGATTCATTTACTGTCGAATCCCTTAAAGTAATTAATGAACTGTCATTTATGAAAGGTACACTGCAAACCGTCGAGTTTGGATCAAATGCTGTAGTTGGTGCAGGAATATTAATGATATAAGTCATTAAATCATTAAGTGACGTAAATAATGTTGTCGTTTTTGATTTAATTTCTTTAGCATCTGTTATATACGGTAATTTTATTTCTGTAGTTTCTGAATTAAAGATATTCGCTAAAATGTTTTGTAAACTGTTTTGAACAGCTGTATAAACCGTTGAATTCGGAACTCTTACGATTTCACCGTCCTTAATAAAGGGCATTGCACATGGTGTAGTGCTTGGGTCAAATCTTTTTGGGTTATGATTCAACATATATTCTAATGCTTCATAAACAGACCTATATACGGTTGTATTATCTTTTTCAATAATTTCACCGTCCTTTATAAACGGCATAGTACATGGAGTTAAAATAGGGTCAAACTTTTCATAGTCCTTCCATGTTATGTATTTCTCAGTATTTCCATCAGTGATAACAATATATTTGTCAGTAAGTGTGAGAGAGTATTGACCAAAATATAAACGTTTAGCTCTGTCAGCTTCATACGCATATGCAGCTATACTCATATTTTAATGAGAATAAAATGTTGTTCTATTTGCAAAGTACAGACCCAAACGAATACGGGACAGTAAAGCTACAAACAAACTTAGGTCTTCAGAATGAAGCCCTTGCTTTCAGAGTTGTTGACTTCAATACTATCGCAACTTTTGTCATAACAGATGAAACAGATTTCATGGAGATTGAAATAGATGGAAAGAAGCACGAAATAAGATTTCACAATAATGTAGAATATAAGATGGAAACATTAGCTGGAGTGTTAAATGCTCTCATAAATACTACAATAAACAAGGATAACGAAGAAAACTTAATGAATGTGAAACTTATTGCAGGAGTTTTGAAGTTCAGTTATGCGAAGGAGTTTAAGATAACACGAATGAGTCATAGAGTACAACTTCTTTTGGGTGCATACCATATGACATTTCCTTTGAAAAGTGTTGACAAAACGATTGAGATGAAATCTGTTCCATACGTATGTTATGGCAACTGTTTATACATTGAGTCTAAAATAGCTAATGTCACAGGCATTTCAGGAGTTAATAGTAAAGGTTCAGTAGTATTCATGTGATTTTATCCCAAGCATATGGGGATTCTAAATTTTTGTCCCTATCGTTATCCCAATTGAATTTTTTTTGGAATTTAAAATTTTTTTTCTGCATGTAAACTTAAATTTTAATTTTTACCACTAAAATGCAATATTTCAACAAATTAATGAGTAATAATATTTTAATTTATAATAATTATTATAAATCTCCTCAATTTAATGTAATTATTGTATTAATTTTTGTTGAAAATATAAAATCTTCAAGTAAATGATGTGAATTTAATATTTTTAGAATGTTGTTTAATTGTACTATATTATGCATGTAAAATTTTGTTACAATACATTTTATATGGGATCCCCATTGCCCAATTGAGAGAAAATTGAGAGGTGGGATTGGGCTAGCCCAATTCAAAATATCCCAGGTGGAAATAAAAAAATTAACAATTCAACATAAAAAAGCATCTTAAATAATAATGATAAAAAAATTTTGTATGAATTTCAATCAAATTTGTTTTTATTCAACTTAAGAAATCACTTCATTAATGAAAGAAGTCGGGTTCACAACATATCCCGATCTTGAAACGAAACAACATGTTTACATGCGATATAAACATGAAGGTAGTCCCAAGTGGTATGTAAAATGCAATGAACTTGTGACACGATCTGATGGCGTAGTTTGCCGGTGTTCAATGCAAGAACAAAGGGAGGATCATTATAAAAACTGGCTTAAGACTCATGTTCACACATGTCAGGCCGGAGAAGCATTATCGCAGCAAACATTACTTGACTACTACAATAAAGGTAAACAGCAAATGATCCAATGTTGGATTTATCGAATGTATACGATGAAATGACCATTTTTACCGGTAAGTTCAACCTTGCCTTAGACACATTTGCATCCCCAGAATTCACGCATGTTGCAAAGATTTTCATTATGTTCACAATATATCAAATGATGAACAAATACAAACAACTTCAGTCAGCTAATATCAATCCGGAAAAACTTGCTGACAAATTATATAAGCCTATTACACGTGATGAGATCCGAAATAGAATGATTGCTATTGCTAACAGCATACACCTTGCTAAAGTTCTCGAATTCGCCAAAAAAGCATACACTTGTGTCGCCATCGATGAAGGCAAGACACATGATTACCACAATCTTGATTTTGTCTTAACAAATCCGTTGGAGCAAATGAAGCCATACCCAGTAGAGGCGATAGATATGAAGGATGGCCAGACAAGTCAGGATTATAAATCCGCAATAACAGCAGGATTTAACAGAATTGACATTAGGAAAGTCAAGATAGGTAGTGTGGTAGTTGACGGAGGACCAGCACAGTTAAAATGCTTCAAAGATACTTGGAATGATTCATTCTATCATGACAGAGATCCAAAATACTACAAGATATTGCTTATTCCCTGTTTGTGTCACAGAATCCACAACA